CATGTCCATCATCCTCTCTCTGTTCCGGATCCAGCTTAATCAAGGTATCTATCCTCATGATGGAAATACAAGCTTCAACCGCCGACTTCAATTGTCGAATCTTGCTCATACTTGGCTCCAAAACACCAGCCTTAATCTCATCCACTACTTTACCCTTCAACAAATCCAATCCGTAGTTCTTGTAGTTCTTCTTCTTGGCAATAGTCTTTTCATCTTCGTTAGCATCGCCATCCTTAATACGTTGCGATAGAGCGTGTCGGGAACGGAGCTGAGCAACCAATTCAGATGAATCTTTAGCGGCGTTGACAGCGAGGGTTTTGGGGATAACGAGGAGAGCTTGAGCAAATTCGCCAATGGCGAGTTGCTCTCTTGAGCCAACGGTACCGGCAAATTCTTCCAAATAGATGTGGAGTGCAGTCTCACATGCACCACCTCCTGGAACGATACTTCCGCTCTCTAAAGTTCGCTTAACAGCGCATAGAGAATCGTGAACGGATCTCTCCATCTCGTCGAGTTGATAATCGTTGGGTCCTCTAAGAATGATGGATGCAGAGGTGTGAACTTTGGTACCCTTAACCAAAATACATTCATCGTCGGAAATTCTCTCCTGAACAACTTCTTCGGCATGTCCTAATGAGGATGCCTCGAATTTCTCATCACCGTTCAAATCAGACAATGAGCTGATCAAGGTACCACCGGTTGCCTTTGCTATTCTTCTCAAGTCCTCCTTCTTACATCTTCGGACAGCCATGGCACCCTTCTCAATGAAGAGTTTCAGGCACATATCGTCGATACCCTTTGTCGTCATAACCACATTTGCTCCAGCCTTGAGGATCATATCGATTCGGTCCATAACAATTCCAGCTTCTCTCTTACGGATTTCTTCTAATTGTGTTGGATCGTCGATCGTAATGTTGACACCGAGCTTCATTCTCTCCTTTTGTAAGTTGATATCTAAAATGGCAATCTTGGCATCCGTAATTCTGGTCTTCATTGCTTGTGATGCAACTGTGCAGTTCAAAGCATAACCCTTGACCAAAATAGACTCCAAAGCTCCTTTACCGTGTGCTTTTAAAATATTGACAGCCTTGACGGGGTATTTAACTTCTTGTCGGGTATTTGTTGATTTGACTGCCTGCATAGCATCTACAACCATATTTGCAAAGAAATCGGAATCCGATCCAATAATCTTACTCGACATGGAGGTTTTGGCGATGCTGATTAAAGAGTCCCGGCTCAACTGGTCCACCTTCACACTGATGTTCTCGTGCATGTACTTGACAGCCTCACGGAGTGCTAAACGGTAACCAGTGATGATTGTGGTAGGATGTATACGATTCTTCATAAGTTCGTTGGCTCTTCGAAGAAGCTCTGCTGCAATAATAACCACAGATGTTGTTCCATCTCCGACTTCTTTATCTTGTTGCTGTGCCAAGTCGACTAAGATCTTGCCTGCTGGATGTTCGACATCTAATAAACTCAGAATAGTTGCGCCATCGTTTGTGACTGTAACGTCCTGTCTGAAATTAGTATTTGGTGGGGTTCTTCTGGAGTGGACAAGCATACTCCTATATCATCTACCATCATTTTGTCCAAACCACTTGGACCAAATGAACTTTTGACAACATTGGCAATAGCCTGGGTTGCAAGAACTATGGACAGGTTAAATCACATCTTTTTCGTGAACATTTTAGCTCATACCATTTTGATCCCGAATATCTTGTCCACTGATCTTTTGGCCGCCGAGGACTACTTGTTATTAGCATTTGTACCAGCAAAATTTCCATGTGCAAACATACACAAAGTTCCGGCATTTCTAGGTTGTTCAAAAAGGGACCCCATATTGTTGATATTCTTGAAATGGCGGAAGCTCTTCTGGTAATATTTCTTCTTCGTCGTCGCGAGAGAAAAGGGACGCGAGAGCTTTCCACGCTAATATTTTTAAGCATTTGGCCTTGAAAATTAAGGCAGGAGCTCAGCCTCGTCGAATTACTTATTAGTGGGGCTGACCAGGCCAGGGGAAAGTCCACTAATAAATCGCAAGCCTGAATAAATCCTTGTCGCTTAAATTTTAGGGCGGGGGAATAGTTGAAGGGAGTCAATGAATCAGTCACTCGTTCAATAAACAAAAGCAACTCTCTTCCTTCACACTCTTCACCACCAACAACCAACACAATCATGGCGGACTCCAATACTCCAGAAGTTGCGCAAGAAGGGCCATCCAAAAGTGCCTTGAAAAAAGCCGCCAAGGAAGCAAAAATGGCTGCAGATAAAGCCGCGAAAGCTGCTAAGAATGCTGCGCTTCCCGTAGTGGGGGGTAAGAAAACAGATGATATTATTGGTATTACTGTCAAGAAGTCCGAAGACTTCTCACAATGGTATCAAGAGGTTGTTTTGAAGGCAGAGATGATCGAGTATTACAACGAAATCTCCGGGTTCTTTATCTTACGTCCTCAATCTATGTTTATCTGGAACCAAATTCGAAATTGGTTTCAAGCAAAAATCGAGACACTTGATGTAGAGGAGGCTAGTTTCCCCATGTTCTTGTCTTCAAAGTCATTGGAGAAAGAGAAGGATCACGTTGAGGGTTTTGCTCCTGAGCTTGCTTGGTTACCAAGGCGTAAGCTTCACTATCTTATTCTCCCCTACCCCGCTATACTAACTGTGATAAAGTGGTGATAAAGATCTCGAAGTTCCTGTCGCAGTCCGTCCTACCTCAGAAGCTGTTATGTACCCATACTACTCGAAATGGATCCGAAGTCATCGAGACCTTCCTTTGCGATTGAACCAGTGGAACAGTGTCGTTCGTTGGGAAGCCAAACAAACAACTCCATTCTTGAGAGCTAGGGAATTCTTATGGCAGGAAGGACATACCGCACATCTTACAGAAGAACTCGCCGGGGAGGAAGTTCTTCAGATCCTCGAGTTTTATGCTGGTGTTTATGAACAATTATTGGCAGTTCCAGTTGTCCGTGGTCGCAAAACCGAGAAGGAAAAGTTCGCAGGAGGATACTATACTACAACAGTAGAAGGTTATATTCCCTCCAATGGTCGTGGTATTCAAGGTGCTACTTCTCACTGCCTTGGTCAAAATTTTAGTAAGATGTTCGATATTACTGTCGAGGATCCAACTCCAAAGAACGGAGAAAAGGCTGGCCATCTTCACGTCTGGCAAAATTCTTGGGGCCTTTCCACTCGTGTTATCGGTGTTATGGTCATGATTCACGGTGATGACAAAGGACTTGTTCTCCCACCCCGTATCGCAAAACTTCAAGCCATTATCGTCCCAGTCGGTATTACAAATAAAAGTACTCCTGAAGAAAAGGCCAAGAGATACGATGAACTACAAAACATCAAGGATACTCTCAAGAAAGCCGGTGTTCGCGCCGATTATGATATCCGTGATGGATATACTCCAGCTTGGAAATTTAACGATTGGGAATTGAAGGGTGTTCCTCTCCGTCTCGAATACGGTCCAAGAGATGCTGCCCAAGAAGTTGTCTCCTACGCCCGTCGTGATACCGGTGAGAAGGGCACAATTGCGATCGCAAACCTCTCAACTGAAGTTCCCGCTCTCCTCGAAACCATCCAAAGCTCTCTCTACACAAAGGCTGAAGCAGCATTCAAAGCTCACAGACTTGTCATCAACAACTGGAGCGAAGTTGTCCCTGCACTTGATGCCAAGAATGTCGTTCTTATTCCATCCTGCTTGGGCGAGAAGTGTGAAGATAAGATTAAGGACTTGACCAAGGGAGGTGCTAGTGAAGAAGTTGGACCTGATGGAAAGAAGGTACCAACAATGGGAATGAAGAGTTTGTGTATTCCATTTGAACAACCAGAAGGTCTCATCAAGGGTGAAACCAAATGTTTGAACCCAGAGTGTGGAGTTTTGGCAGAGAAATATTGTATGTATGGAAGAAGTTACTAGATTTTTTGCGTAAGGATGGGATTGAGGAGTTTGGAGACAAAGAAAAGATTGAAGGCGTGGATGGACGGAAAAAATATGATGGATGAATGATGATCAAGATGAATTTCTCAACCTGAGTTCAATGATTAGATAGCGAAAAAGCGCTTCGTATAAGTTGTTTTCCTGACTAGGTTTAGAGCTTTTAGCTGCTTCTCGATATAGTGCAAGAAAGAAAGAAAGAAAGAAATTAAGAAGAATACCCGCATGATCTCTCACGGCGCATTTCCGACTTCCTGATTGAGTTGCATCTCATTTACATAACGTACCTACTCAAATTGTCGAATAGGAGTTTAATATAATACTATTTACAACTTGAGTTTCTTGAGTTTCTTGAATGAATGAATGAATGAATGAATGAATGATTGATTGATTGATTGATTGATTGATTGATTGATTGATTGATTGATTGATTGATACTGGAATATCCATACCTCCTCTGTAGAAATCTAAATCTAAATCCAAAATACACAATTTCGATTCCGATTTCTATTTCCATTTCTATATCCCCCCTCCCCCCCTCGTCCCAAGGAACTCTCAAGCGAACGAACCCCCTTAATCATCATCATCATCATCATCTAATCTAATCCAGATTCAAATCCAAATCCCCCCCACACACATTCTCTCTCTTCTCTCTCTTTTCTCTTCTCTCTTCTCTCCAACTCAAAGACTCAAAGACCTAACCAATTTCCTCCTCCCCGGAATTTAAATACTACCTGCCTGCCTAGTTTCACATCTGTCATATACATATCTAATCCGCACAACTCTCAGTATTCCCCCTTCCCCCCTTCCCCCCTCAATTCCCATATCTCTCACCCCTCCACCCCTCCACCCCTCCATCATTTTCATAACAAAAACCATAACCATAACCAAAAAAACCAAACCAAAACCAAAAACAACAATTTCCTAACCCCCAAATATATACTCACCCTCACCCTCACCCTCCCTCCCACTCACAGAACACAATCAAGAAAATGACATACCTACCTACCTACATAGGTATTACAAGTGAGTGAGTGAGTAAGTAAGCGAGTGAGTGAATTGAACTGAATTGAATCCATAATTATCTATCTGTTGTACCGTATTGTAATGTTTTTCGTTGCCTATGTAACTAAAGTTTTCCCCCGTTTCCACTTCCACTTCCACTTCCACTTCCACTTCCACATTCCACCCCCATTTTAATTTTCTCTCCAGCTCTCATGTTCATTCTCATCGTCATACTAATGCACTCGCCCCATCACATACTCACATACAGCAGCGATTTTCAATCGAATCAACCAATCAACCAATCAATCGTCATATATCATGCAATCCATCCATTAATTCATTCATTATCAATGGTTCATTATCGATGCCTTCACTTTCTTTCATACCATTATTCATCCTCCCACCATATTTATCCATTCATCCAAACCAATCACCTTCTACTCCTCTCTACTCCCTCAACCCCCTCACTCTTCTCCTTTTGTCCCCGCTCTCCTTCACTAAACACGTGCTAAGCCCGTCCCAATAGTTTCCCTAATGTAGGTCCTATATCTGGCATGATTTGGTTTACAGAAAGCCCAGCCCCTTCCTAAAAATGTGAATTTCATAGCGTCTATGGCGACAAGAAAATCAGTGGCTTAGGTATTCGATCCGCTCAAACAAAATCAGCAGAGTAAGAGAAACCGCGGAACTCTTCTTGCATAGCTTGAGACAAAACTGTAGATGTCATTAGTCAAAAGTTTTCCATAAAGATGTAAAATCAACGTACCAGACTGCACTGGTGTCAAAACAGGTGTGACACTGGTGAATTCGGAATCGAAATTGCTAGTATCGGTAGCATTGGTGATAGAAGGTTGGAAAGGTGGTGCAATTCTCTTGTGGTAAACATCATCCCAATTAATGCTTCTGAAGAATGGTTGACTCATGATCTCTTGTGCATCAGTAGGTCCACTTCCCAGTCTTTGTTCAGGTTCACGTGTCAATAATTTCTGCAATATCGATACTGAATCACGGGGCATGTGGATTGGGTATAAAGGTTCATCCGCAAGAATGGCATCGTAAATTTCGTCTTCATCCTCTCCCCTGAAGGGTGATTGTTGGAGAAGCATTTGGTAAATGAGAACACCAAATGCCCACCAATCGACTGCTCGACCGTATTTTTTGTCTAGCAAAATCTGATCCACAATTAGCTTTGTACGATATTAGCCATGGGAAAGACTTACCTCTGGGGCCATGAATTCAGGAGTACCACAGAAAGTGCTCGTAGTCGAACCATACCACATCTCTTCCTTACAGAGACCATAATCGGCAATTTTGATGTGACCATCAAGTGTCAATAGAATATTGTCCAACTTCAAATCACGATAAATAACACCATTTTCGTGGAAGTATTTCAAAGCCAAGCAGACCTCAGCGGCATAAAATCTATGATTGTCAATAGATGGTTCTAATAGAAAGGATAACAGATGACTTACTGTGCACGCTTAGTTCCGAATTGCCCTCGTTGAATGTGCAACATAAGATCACCACCACTGATGTACTCCATAACGAAATATACTCTAGTTTCTGTTTGGAAACAGGCATGGAGAGTCAACAAGAAAGGATGACGTTCCTTGTTTGCGATCAAGAATACTCTCTTCTCGGACCTAGTACTTTCGACTTCATCATTCTCAATGATGAACTCCTTTTTCAAAACTTTAATGGCATAAAGTTGCTTAGTTTGCTTGGTCTCAGCAAGCATGACCTTACCGAAATTACCCTTACCCAGAACCGCAAGAAAGTTGAAATGATCAAGACCAATACGACGTCCAGTGCCTGGTTCGTTTGCTGCAGGAACTTGCTTTCGTTGTTGCCCTTGAGGTACGACTTGTTGTGAACTAGGCTGTGCAGGGAGTGGAATCTCTGGAGGAGGTCCTTGTGATGGAGGCGCAAACATTGTTGCAGATGGAGGAGGAGGTGGGAGTGGCGAATGTTGTAGTTGGGGCATTGGCTGAGAATAACCACTGTCAACATTTGCATATGCGGCAGGGTTATAAGCTGGCTGTGTAGGCATTTGCGCCGAGGGATTTGCACCATATGGACTGGTCTCAGAATGCTTATCGGGTGTTTGTGCATTGCCAGCCGCGCCTCGTTGAGCTCCGACTTGTTGGGTATAATCGGTGGAAGCTCGGGAATATTGGTCTCTTGGAGGTATCGGTTGCCTACCCCCCATTGCAGCAGTTGCTGCAGCAGCGGCAGCTGTAGCACTTGATGATGTGGATGTTCGATCAGGTCCTGCTGGTCGTTGTTGTTGTGGTGAACTTGGTGTGTACATTGCCTGTGCGGCTTGAGTAGCGTCGCTGGAGCTGGGTGCCCCATAAGATTTTGCTCTAGGAGGTCGTTGTGATTCAGGTGATCCATAAGAGTTACGATCAGTCGGTGTTCCTTCCGTTTCTGGCTTTTTCTCTCGCAATGTTTTCTCGCTCATGGGAACAGGTGTCGTCAGTCGTCGTTTTTGGCCTCTAATACCTTCAAGAATGGCGTTTGCGACAGCCATGGACATACCACAGAAATCTGGAACAAGATGTACACAGTGTGCATGGCATGTAAGGGCACATTCTACTCTTGTTAGTTAAACGGGACTTCGGGTTTGTGTAAAAGTACTTACCTGTGCACTTGCGACAATTCTTCTTTCCGAAGGGCAAAACATATCCACAATGACAACACCAGTTGGCGCTCATATTGTTGAACTTCTCAAAACGATGTGGAATACGATGATTGATCTTTTCCTCGTCTGGATCGGTTTCCGCATTGGATTTGCTGATACATTTCGTAACGACTTGTGAGAAACACTTCGTATGACAAGTATATTTGCAGTCCTCACATTGCATACCAGCAGTATATGTAAGGAAGTCTCCACAGAGTGCACATCGCATGATGTTGTAAAATTGTTGCGAGATGAACTTGTGTCCATACATCTCGTGGACTTCTTCCTTTCTTTGACGAATGGCACCTTTTCGACCAAGGGCAAGGTCAAATGGTCTCCGATCTTTAGTTTGTTTCGTGAACGAGATATTGAGATTTACGGCACCACTAGGTTCGAGGGCAAACCACGCATCGATCGGTTGTGGTGCTACCACTGTATTTCCCGGCCCTCCAAACTCGTTTGTTCCCGCTGGTTGTGCTCCAGTTCCCGCGCTACCTGGCGGCGGTCCAAATTGACTTGTGCCAGTCATTGGAAATTGTGCTGGTGGGGCGCCACCACTAGCCATGCGGTCCGCAGAAACCCACCCGGAGTTGTTGATCTCGGCCTCGATTCTCTTCCTTCTCATTTCTTCGACAATGTCAGATATTCGGACCCACAATAAACCAATAGGTAATGCTTGATCGCCAGCTTTGTCGTAAACCGTAAGTTCGATTTCGTTTGCCTTGTCCACATAAATGTTATGAATTTCATTCTCCCATTTATCAGTTCGGGTGTTTTTCGTTCGTGCAACAACATTATCTTCTACCTTCACGGCGATAGAAGTTTCCGGACCTCTTGTAAATCTACTGGTTGTTGCATGATCAACGTCTTTAACTGCTTGAATGCGGAGAACAAGTTGACCTGTCAAAGGCTTTCGCATATTAGGGGTATTGATACTATCATCTGTTGAAACCTGTTAGCTTGCGAGGTTAGCCAAAAGACACGTTTGGGATCCTACCATCTGGAGCATCCGCTGAGCTCTCCATATCTATATGTAAATCTTCGTAACCTTTCAAAGCCTGCTTGAGGATTTGAATCTTTTGATTACTTTCAACTCGGCGAGCAGCAGCATCCGCTTTACTCTTCCTATCGCCCTCCATTTGATATAATTGAACCATCTTCTCGATACCCTTCAAATATTGTTTCTCGACGTTAAGCTTAAACTCCAATTGTGAAAGCATGAGTTGAATGCGGGGTCCTAGATAAGGGGTATCATACTTGATGAGGTCTGAATTGCACAGTCAGCATTTGTCCATCAATGCTGGAATATATAAAAGTAACTTACCAAGCTTGGTATAATTAGGACGTGATCTAGGCATGCCAGAACCTGGTGCAGGAGGCGCAAAAGGATTTCTCGGTGGCATCATATCACCATGACCACCAATCTGACTGTATTCCTGATCACCATATCCGGCTTGATCCCCCGTCTCGATGGGATTTCCTCTGGCATCCTTGGGCGGCGGGGTTGGCGGCGGAGCGGCTCTATCATCACGCAGACCGCTACTGGGCGGGCGACCAGCACTACTCCCCGCACTACCCGTTCGACCTTCTGTTCGTAGCTGTAATTCTTTCATGCGCTCCTCTAGGTATGAAATATTTCGACGACCATCGCGCATTTGTATATCTATCCTAGCTCTAACTTGCTCATTCTGAGTCTGCTGCCTCATTTGATTCGCGGCATTGAGGAGAGCACGTTCGCGCTGGATCTTTTTGTAGACGGAGCTAAGAGCCTCCTCATCGTTGCTATTCATGATTACGGCTTGGTCCTCTGCCGTCCTTCAAAACAACTTTGCGTAGATAGGAATAATGAATGCTGGGCGAAGAGTTACAACGTTTGCCCGATTTTTGATATGGTAAGGTTTGTGATGGTCGAGGTGGAGATGGAGTAGGTGGGGTTTTACTATCCGGGCATGGGCAGGGATTTGTTTGTTGACGCCCGATGTTGCTGTTGGAAAAAAGTAATCTTGGCAAGGCGAAGAAGGGGTGGAAGTAGGTACCGGTATGTAAGAGATAGATAAATACAAAGCTTAGGATCTGAAAGCTCTTATGTTTTGAATTGGCTTATGCATGAAAAGACGTGTTTTTTCTTGTGTCTTGATCTTGATCTTTATGTTTCTTGTGTGTATCAATTCCCCAAGAGTTCTTGTCGTATGGTGTTTCGAGATATGTATGGTGATCTGATTGGAGAGTTGAGTGTATGTATGATGGTAGTATGGTAGCATGTATTTGACAGCACCGGTATGGATATGAAGGAAGGTTTGCAAGTTGTGGATGGAGATGGAGACGGAGATGGAAATGGAGATGGAGATGTTTGTTGATATCAGTTAACTTTGGTAGGAACTTTAAGTTTCCCCCAATCACCCCGTTGCCTATGGATGTCTTTGATAGGTGTTGAATACTCCGACCTTGCTGTACTCTGTACTTTAGGTGGTATCGATATCAGAGTGAGTGCATTACTTTGTTTATTTGCTCAGCCACCATGTGCTAGATTGGTTGACGACGGGTCGGAAGGAAGGATAAAGAAAAGTTACTTTATGCCGAAATGTTATCGATGCTATGTTATCGATGCTTGAATAGGTACCGATATACGTTTCATCCAGATTCCGTGTCTTTTTCGGAGCTTGTTGATCTCTCCAACTTGTCTGGATTTTTGATTTGTTATGGAGAATCGTTTAATGAATTCAATAAAGGACGTCCATAAGTCTCTGTGACTCTCAATCTTTAAAGAATGCGGCGTAGACTGTCATCACCAGTTACAGTTACAACAGGTGAACAGATAGAGCCCGAGCTGACTACCTACCTACTGGCACCTATCCAAGTGAATCTCAATCTCAATCATATCAAACCACTCCAGCTTCTACGAGTACCTACCTAGTATCTACCTACTACCCATCTATCTATCACCAAATCCAATTGCCATCTACAACTACCTACCTAGGTACCTACTTTTCACCCACACCCACCCACACACACACAACTACAACAATAACATGAATCCAAACGCCATTGACACACATCGAATCATCCGCATAATCATTCCTCATCAATACAGTAGGTAGCTGATCCATCCTCTCAATTTCTCAATTCATACGTACCTGCCCAGATGAATATCATACGATTCTACCCACCCACCATCCTTCCGCAAACAAGAGGGGAAAATTCAACGGGTGATGTCCGTGCCACTACTCCTAACAATTTAGGGAATTTAGGGAGGCTAGGGTAATCATCGTCATTCTAGTTCAGGGGTTTAGCTTTGAAGGAACACGACCGACGGTACATATGAACGGGAGATAGGTAATGAAAGTCACTCTCAATATCCATGTTATTGAATCATTTTTTGTGAAATATACAACAATACAGAGATATCAGACTCGGATCAAGTCGAGGCGATTAACAAGAGCGAGCTTTCACTCCATACTTCTAAATTGGTATCAATCATCTCTCTATCTTCTTCTATCTATCTCTTACGACTTATATTGTTGCTTCAATAACTTTGCTATCGTTGTCAATTGGATATTGCTCGTTCCCTCGTAAATAGATCCAATCATCGAATCTCTCCACATCTTTTCCGCAATTCCTTCACGAACAAATCCCATTCCTATTATTAAAATTTAGTATAGAGCTAAAACAATAAACGTGAGATATTCAACTTACCACCCATCCATTGAACCGCCAATCCACTGACGCGTTGAGCGACTTGCGAAGCAAAAAGCTTGGCCATAGCTGCATCCTGAACAAAGTTCTCACCTGCTTCCTTCTTGCGTGCAGCGTTGTAGACTAGAGCGCGAGCGGCGGCAATTTCTGTATAAGATTGTGCGATTTGATGTTGCATGCCCTGGAAATCTCCAACTAATTGTCCAAATTGCTTTCGGTCATTCCATACGTATCTGTTCAAATCTATTAGCCATTGAGAAACTCTCGAAAATAACATAATCATGCGTACTTAGTAGCGTTTTCGAATGCTCCCAAAGCGAGTCCGGTCATTTGTGCGGCGATTCCAATACGGCCCTCATTCAGAAGGGCAATGGCATATTTGTATCCTTGTCCCTCTTCTCCCAAGAGATTTTCTCTAGGAATTTCCACATCATCAAAGTTAAGAACACAAGTGCTGCTGGCCTTGATACCAAGCTTCTTTTCCTTCTTAGCAATAGAGAACCCCTTCATTCCCTTCTCGACAACGAAAGCAGAGATTCCCTTGTAGCCTTTACTATGATCAAGGTTTGCAAAAACAATAAAGAATTCTGCTTCCATAGAATTGGTGATCCACATCTTGCTTCCAGAAATCGTATATCCTGAATCTGTTTTGGTAGCTTTTGTGGCAAGCGCGAAAGCATCGGATCCAGATACTGGTTCGGACAAACAGAATGATCCAACAGTATTCGTAGCCAATTTTGGCAACCACTTGTTCTTCAACTCCTTACTCGCATATTTGATAACCGCAGTGTTGACCAGAGTGTTGTGCACATCCACCAACACACTCACACTTGGATCAACTCTTGCCAGCTCCTCAATTCCCACAATCGCTGCCGTAAAGTTCATTCCTGCACCACCATACTCTTCAGGTATTTCGACTCCCATAAGTCCTTGTTCAAATAACTGTTCCACAACCGCAGGGTCCATACTCTCGGCCTCATCCATATCTCGTACTTTTGGCGCGATGATATCGTTCGCAAATTTAGAGACAGATTCCGACATGGCCAGTTCAATTTCAGAAAGATGTGTTATAGGAGTTGGAGGAATCTCGGTTATGTCGACGGCATCTGAACGAAGGCGAGAGGTGGCGGAAAGAGGACGGGCACTGCGCTGATGTTAGACTGATAGGAATGATGGGAAATTGAATGAGAAAACACATACTGTTGGTATATTCTACTCTGTCTAGTTAGTCTGATTGCAGGTCTGGCAGCAGATGCAGATGTACCAGCTCTTCTCACCACCGGTGCTAAAGCTTTAACAATTGAGGCCATTTTTCTTCCTTCCTTTGTTACGTCAAATGAGTATTGAAAGGTAGCAAAATATTTTGTGAGAGTTTTCGAGAGAACGGCAAGAGCTTTTATAAGTCAAAGAGCAATTGCTAAGTATTCTAAAGGAGAGGCAATTACGATTCGTGAAACTTAGTCGTTGGTGTTCACGGAGGAAGGAAACAGCTCGGCTTAAGATATCCTCGGTTGTTGGGCCGGTGGGCTTGGCAAGCGATACATTCCCCAGATTCACAAATCTCGTATCACCGAAAGCATCTCTCATCATTTTGGTGATGCGAACACAATTAATAAATCCATGACTCGTTTCGATGATTCATCGGAGTTTGTAAAACTCTAGCAATCAAAAATACATCTCCGTTCACATCAATTCTCGGCGTTTTCAGTGCACCAGGGGCCTCCACGACCAAAGCTATGACCTTTAACCAATTAACACATGCAAAATGCGGGGTGACTGGGCAACTTAAACCACCCCACTGGACCCTTTTAGCCGTCGACGACCCGACTACTATCCGATCTGTATCCGATCCGTATTCGTTTTAATGCAGTTCATTGCACTATTCAGAGACATGAATCTTAAGAATAATTAGCCACCGACGTTCAAGTAAAGTCAATGCATTAAACGTTCGTATAGTATATTGGCGATGAAGCTGTATTCTCCCTATTATAAGTCATGATAGACTAGCCGAATGTTACTGTAACTTTTGCGCTCCTTCTGATATTTCAATACCAAACAACAATTTCCATCAATAAATTTCAAAAATCCCAATGCAAATCAGAAAGTAAATCTTTCATATTGACGCCATGGTCCCTCCACATACGCCTGTCAGCCACGTCCCAACGTCTTGGTATCAATTAAAACGCCATGGCACCTCCGCTCAGTACCGAAAATCCATGTAGATATGCAATCAAATTCAAAGCGCATTTCATTCTCAAATTCCGAATTTTGTCGTGAAGTCGATCATTATGTTATTGTGTCGTATGTTTAATCGTCTTTCTTCTCCACCTTTGGTAATAAGAACCAGCAAAGCATCATGACAGCAAAGAGACCTAAAGCAATAGGATGCAAGACGAAATTGCCAAAGGCCTGAGCCAAAACTCCGGTGGTGAAAGGAGCAATAGCACCACCAGAACTACCAAGAGCACTGATTACACTCATTCCACTGACTTGGTATCTGCGAGGGATGATGCGAGTGAAAATGTAGGCGGCACATGGGTAGACGGGCCCGAGAAGGAGACCGACGATAGAAACCGCAACAGCGTCTCCAATGACATTAGGGACACCCCAAACGATTCCTTCGAAAGCAGCTGACAAAATCACAACGATAACCACAAACTTCCTTTCACCAATCTTGTGCCCGATAGGAGATAGCAAGAAACGACCGAGCGTGATACCACCCCAGAAACCAGAAGTAACATATCCAGCATTGTTATTGGCACCTCTGACTTGTTGCAGGAAGTAGACAACCCAGCCGGAGATGGAAACTTCCGCACCTTGGTAGGAGAAAATGAAAATGGCACCGATTAAGACAGCTGGTAATTTAGCAGCTTTAAACATTTCCATCAAGTCCCTCTTTGCACTGGATTTTGGTCTGCTTCCTGATTGAGTCAAGTTGGTCAGTGCCATTTCATTTGGATCCTCGTAGTCCCAGAAAGCCCATCCGGCAAATACTAAATTGACGAGCATCATTCCAAGCGGAATAAAGTAGTAACGACTCCATGAAATGCCAGATGAAACGAGTGTGGTGGCTACCAATGGAGCAATGATACCCCCAAGTCCGTAGGAACCATGCATGAAGCCCAGCATTTTGGTACCATTATCGAGGTTGGCTGCGAAAACGTTTGACAACGACAAATTAATTGCCATGCCAAATCCGATGAATAAGAATGCCAGGACAACGACTGGGAATGGAGGATTGGGAACGATCATCACATAGCCAGCAACCATGAGGCCTTCAGCAAACATTATAGATTTGGCTCTTCCGAATCGAGATCTGATAGCATCTATGAAAAAGGCTGCTGAAATATAGCCTACTGCCTGCGTGATGAATATGAGAGATACGAGTCTTTCTTCAATGCCATATGCTCTAATATTTAATCAGTAATGGTTATTGTTTCTTGGGAACGGACTAACATACATGATCATCTTTGGAATCAATGGACCAGCTGCAGCATCACTCAAACCATTGCCAAAGTTCAACAAACAGGTTGCAGTCATTCTGTATCTATTCTTGGGAGGGTTGGAGAAGCTTTGAACGATGTATTCCGGTTCGTTATTTGGAGTTTGTGATCGACTCTCCTCCAAAGCGCTTGGGGATGTTGAACTTTGCCAGCCTGGAGTTGTCCATCCCGATCCAGGTTCTGCTCCAGGTGTGGTAGTTCCAGATGCAGATGGTCGATTGACATTTGATCCCCATTGTAAATTATCGAGTTCAATTGCATGGGGCTGTTGGGCTGAGTGATATGTTCTGGTAACTGATTTCTGAGGGGCGGCGATGGGTTCATTGTTCGCTGCAGTACCAGCAGCAACAAGTTCATTGTTTGTCGATACGACATCGAAGATTGAAGAGAAATGAGCAGCCATTATGACTGTGATAGAATCATGTATGCCAAATAAGGCAATAAGATTTTATGAAAGTGATTTGGAATATGTGATTGTGTATATATATTGACAATTAAGGTGATAGATGGTGGGAAAATCAAGAAAGCAAAGGGTGAGCTCAATGATATAAGCAAAGAATTTGTGTTTGAACTGACGAGGCAGTTGAACATTCGGAGGTCATGCGAAGTACTTACTAATGACGAATAGTACCCAGTAGTCCCTATGGACTAACTATGGACTAAAAATGATAATCGCCATACTAATTCTGAAATTTGCGGTTGAAGCAGACTAAAATCACTAGATCAGGACCGGTTGGAAGGCTAAAGGCTTAAAAATAAGGGTTTGGGGAGTTGGGGGAGAACACTAGCTCCATACCAAGTGAGATCTCCGCCAAATGTGGAGAAATTCAACAGGTTTTTGGAAAATTAGATCCATGATAAGAGAATGACTGTCGTAATTGGATCTCGATATATTCTGGAATGCATTTGGAAACATGGGAATACTTCGGACAATGCACTTTATACACACATGTAAGCATCTTAAAAGCTTTTTGAGAAAGTTTCAACGTATAGGGCTTCGAAAATAAATTAAGCGGAGTTGCCCAATACAGCCTTGAGTCATAAATCCAATCAATGTCTTCTAGATCTTTTCTATATCAGGACGTCAGGGTTTTCGGCTAAGTTTCCCATGGACAATACGGTCACGGATAATAATAATTCCGAACCCCGCCAAAGAAAAAAATATTCCCAAGCACCTTTAAGAAAATTGATAGACATAACAAATCAGCTTGTTAAATTTCATCATCCTTGGACTTTCCACAAATTCTATCGTGAGGCCTAGAACTACTCTCTTTCTGAACTTCAATTCTCAAAATCAATTCTCAAAATCAATTCAAGTCTCACCACATTTTATTTTACAATGGGTAAACCAAAGCGTAATGTCTTTGCGGCCGCCGAAGAAACTTCTACCCCGCCAGATACATTGACAGAAACACAATCGATTGCTCGTGTTATCAAAGCTGAAGGAAACAGCTTATACTCTTGCACTCTTACTGATAACTCAACCATTCTTGTCGAATTGCCTTCTCGATTTCGTAATACAATTTGGATCAAACGTGGTGGTTATGTCTTGATCGACACGAAAGATGCAAATGTGAGAGAGAATAAGATTGGTGGTGAAATTATAAATGTCGTCCGGGATGAACACATTTGGCGAAAGGAAGCTTACTGGTAGGTCTTTCATATCGTGCACTATTTGGCTCGACTTTCCTGACGAACCATCTCAATAGGCCCAAGGAATTTCCAAAAAGCTTCGCATATATGGAGGATTCGGATGATGAGGAATCGACTGTAGGCAAAATGCCACCATCAGACTCGGACGAAGAGTGATATGACCAAGATCCGATATTGTACAAATTACCGAATATTATTGGGGGAGAAGGAATTTGCTCACGCCTGATTAAGAAGTTTTCTTTTCGACGGCCCCTTGGCCCTTGGGCGCAACAAAATCAAGCCTGGTTCCCCACCATACACCCGCCACGGTGATAAACATAATTCCAACTACTACCAACGAGCTTACATCAGTACTTGGGTATACATTCCACGCCCATTCCTGCGCCCCCCATAAAGCATATTGAAGGATTGGGTGCATGCCACTACGCCAAAGTAAGAAGGGGGTGGCCCATGCAAGATAGGCAAAGAATTGGTAATGCAAAGATCGCGCGAAGAGCATACCAATTGTGGTAGCAGTTAGGATGGTTGTCATGATATAGTTTGGTGATATCGTATGCGAACAGGCGTGCAGTCTTTGTCCCAGTGGCTCCTCAAATCTCAGCGCGCTTCGAATCAAATCAATGATTGGCGTTTCCGCTGGCTTGAGCCATCTAGTCATTGCGAACAAAGCCAGAGTACTAATATGTCCTACCAATAGAATTATAGAAAATTCCTTGCTCAGGAACTTCTCTTCTCCCAAAAATCTCCAATTGACTGTCCATTTGAAAAAGAATACCCTTGAAAACTCAAAAGCCCTACTCAAATAACCAATTGCATTTGTTGGGAGGAAGGAAAGTGCAATTACAACTTGCAATTGTGCCATAAGCCATGCTTGTTTAAGAGCTCCTTGTACCCCTTTTGTCAAGAATAACATTATTCCAATAGAGGGCAATGCTAGTAACAATGTCATCTTAATTCCCAAGCCCCAACTATATGCCATGCTCCCAATTGTCCATAATCTGCGCTGGAAGAAGTAGATCGCAACCCATAAGAAGAAAACCGCGAAGCCATCATTGAATAGTCGAAGAACAAATATGCTATGTAATCGTTTCGAAAGGACGAGCATTGGAAATATATAGTGCGGTGCCTAGATTCCAAATCGAAGATTAGTCTATATTCTCTGAATCCTTTGCCCCAATTCAAATCCAATTATCGAAGCCTACCTTAGCCCTCTTATAACAAGCCAAAACAACCCCCAAAGTCCCCAAATACAAAACTCCAAATATGCGCTGGGCAACCAGTATATCACGTCCATGATCAGTAATCCACCATAATGCATAGTATATCCATACATGTGCGGCGGGATATACCAATGGGCCGGTTCCACCTTTGATTTGAGTGTAATCGCGCTCGCCGGAGTCATATTGGCTGATCTGTTCCATGTAGGCTTTCCAATCTATTTCTGTGTCTGGGGAGAGGGTTAGCGACGGGATGGAGGGGGAGAGCATTATGGAGAAAGACAGAAAGGAGAGAGAACATACAGGGTATGAAATAGATTATAGCACTGCATAGGAAAGCTTCGAAGAGTAGGATGAGCGGGGGAACATAGCGTGAGAGCCAGTGTTCGCCCATTGCTAATTGTTTGAGCTGGTGGTAGACATTTGCGGTTAGGGAGATGGTAGCCTTGTCCTCCTTTTTCGAAGCTGGAGGGGCGGGAGCCATCATTGCAAAAGTGTGGATGTGTACCGCGAAAGATTGGATTGAAGATTCACGGATGGGAAATGGTAAATACAAGAAGAGAAAAGGGTATGAATTAGAAGATCGGATGAGAGGATACAAAGAGTGTGAGAAATTCGCGCGCAGTGTTACGTAGCTCTGGAAAATTAAGCTTTCGGTAGTGCTACGTGGATGCTGGGAACGATTACAGGGGTAATTTGGTAGAAGAAACTCACTAGAAATGAATGATGAGGTCTTCTTTATATCTCTCAAGGTAATATTCGCGCATTCACTCATTACAGATTGATGTGCATATAAATGTCAATATTCATCATTTCTGATATCAAGTGATTGGGTGACTAGATACTTTTCATTATCAGAAAAGGACATGTGATAGTTTCAATGTCTTCGATTTATCAACGTCCCGTTTGACTACTTAACAATCCCTCTATTTGAATTGCACAAAATACACATAGCAGTCGAAGTTTGGACTCTTCGGACTGGGCTTATGTATTCTCTTGTTTTGATAGTTTATTTGAAGTTTTCCTTTCCTTCTGCTTTAATATACCTTTCTATTTCAAGTGAACCATCCAGCGTCCGCATTCGAGATAGAACGTGGCAAATGGTGGCAGTACAGTGAAGGTGGGTGCAGGGCCATCAGAACTTTTGACCTGATATGAAGTGCTAGATGGATACGAGACTGCGGCACATTATTCAGAGCTCGACGTCATGTTTCAGGGCTATACAAAGACAGTAGCCTGTAGTCAGAGGTTGCTTCTAGTCAATGTTATATTGAGTGATATTGTGCTGTTTCCTTTTTCGGACATGAGCGATCGAAATCGAGACGAGCGCATGGGGGTTTGAACAAAGAAGCTGCCGTTAGGTCCTCATTCAACTACCGTCGCATATATTCCAGTCTCCATTCAGCATCAGTCCAACTCAGGTTGGATAGTCAACCTACATCCTGCTGTAAGAAAACACAAATTTCATCATCGTGCTGCATACATTCTACCTATGAGTTTCTTCCAGGCGAGATGAGGAGGTTCGTATGACAGTTCATCGATACCTCTTCTCATATTGTTTATATTCGTCTTACAGCATCAGGCCGTAGTGTCAATTTGGTAGTACCGCATCTACCAACATTGAATATAATTCATATATTCTGACTTCAGCGTCTTTTGCTTGCCATCTAGCACCTCGATCGCTAATCCACAATCATACATTCAGATCTCCCCGTCCCTTCTTTTGCGATTTGAGATTTATGGCGGCCAAAGTGCAATCCCAAATCTAGAATCATATTGTCTTTTTGTTCCGATCTATGATCTTCTAAGAATTTCAAATCTCACTTTTGCATCTTCTCAACTGATCATCCCTATATTTCAAATTCATTTACACACCGAGTCAGACCAGATCTTTCAGCGTTCTCGTTTTTAAACAACACCTTTATATTTCCCAATATTTTCATTCAGTGTCAAATATTCAATAATCACAGTATACTGATATCAGAACACCCTAAAAATTGTTGATCGACTGTAGACAGTGGAATGGTGGTAATCAACATTGTCTCATGGTTACAATTCACTCATGTCCCCGCTTACATTTTGAGGAAACTGGGCAAACTTCACTGACTTAACTTATCAGTCTCCTTCTTCCTCGCCCCAATCTTCTACACCATTTTCCCACAAAAGTCTGGAAGACTTACGATGGATGTGAACTCTCATGCACTTCTGCCTCTTTATTCCCTCCTTCCCATTATGGGCGCCGTGAGAAAATTAGCCTAATACAGCTTAGTCTACTTCTTCTTCACCTCATACTTCTGTTCTATACTTGCGTCTCTCAGAATCAAAAAACGTTACAACAATCAATCATTTTTCAAGTTCAAAAATTCACTTCGACCTCCTCTTTCCTTTCTCTTTGGTTTGAAAATATTGAGACAATTTGAATACCTAGCTCAGCTTAGTCTACTTTCTCTGCTCAAGCTTCTGCAATTCCTGCTCTCTTACAAAATCATCACCATCCCCTCCACGTTTTTTCCCCTCTCAACTTCGCTCACAACCAATAACTTACTGGTACAATATATCTACATCAACTTCATTTCTCTCGTGAGAAAGTTATTTTCTACTTCTATCTTTACAAAGCAACTTTGCGACAATTTATTTACATTTTGAATCTCGAAGGTGAGAAGGGCGGCTCTTTGCGGCTTCGCCATGACTCTATAGGATACGTGAGACCAAATAACTTTATTCATACCTTCACATAGTGAGTATATTTCACTTGGAAACCTATTGTCAACCTTACCTTCACGTTCCTCTTTGCCAAAGCCAGAGCTCGCAAGCTCTGTTGATCATGGTTCTTTGATTGTTTGCCCAAGTTCCTGAATATCTGCCTTTGGCCCTTGGCATAAGATATCACCTTTGCTGCAACACACAATTTCAGGTCCCCCTCTCCAATTCTAAACACACGCTGATATCTTTTCCAAAGGCAAAAATCATTATTCTATAGCCACTCACCTCGATTTAATCTTCTTACTGAAGACGTACGGCACTCACTCGTCAACTACCTTAATCCAGATCAATCTGGCATCTTATCTCACAACAGACCAGTTTCTTCACTTGAGAATCTAATATCCTTACTTCCAGTTTCCAGATTTTTAGCATCAACTCCTACTTTGGTGTTCATCAGCAAATCACGCTGGTATTACGTATTCCGCTTTCATTCTAAACTTTGATTCTTCAATCCCACATTCACTCGATCCGCTTTCTGCTTTTGCAATTTGCAACACCAATAACCTGCCTGTTCCTTCTCAAAGTCTGACTATCTCGTACAGCACTTAAAAGGGCAACGAGAACAATTATTTCAAAAAGCATTACATCGATAATATGTCTTTCAGCGAGGAGGAAAATTACGAGAACTCCCTAGGCGGAGGGTATGGTGATGAGTTTGTTGAAGCCGACAGAGGTCAGGAATTTGATAATGAGAATCCTTTGACACCCTATCAAGTTCAGCGACCGGCAAACTATTTTACCCCGCCCCAACCTCAACGCCGGATGCCTATACAACTTGCCACAATCCACACGGGTGCTTTAGATGTTCGTCAAGAGCCCTCACAAGGACCTGCGCCTCGCGTTCCATCAACCTCTGCAGTTCCTCAAGAGTCTTCAAACCCAGAGATTAGCGGCAGCCCAGATCAAGGAAGCATTCTTTCAAGCCCAGAGATTAGCGGTAGCCCAGATCAAGGAAGCATTCTTTCAAGCCCAGAGGCTAGCGGTAGCCCAAATGAAGAAAATGCCCCTTCAACTCCTCAAGAGCAAAGAAGCCCCTCAGCCGTTCCTCAAAGTCCTTCCATGTCAAATGACAGCGTGCAAGATGTTCCGAGTCCAACAGTCGAATCTGATATCGAAGATAGCTCACCAACAGATATCCAGCATGCAGGTAGAACAGGTGCTGACTTAATGCCAAGTATCGAGTCGCCAGACGTCGAAGATGAGAAAGATTCCCAGGCTGCTCTTGACCATGGCAGAAGTCAAGTGGTAGCAAACGATTTGTACAATGTGACTCCTCAAAGATCTATTTGCGCACCCCTACAAAATTCCAACAAGAATCGCAAATCTATATTTGGTATGCCACAGAATTCCAATATTCGACTTGCCGGAACTTCCAATCATCTTCAGACCCCAAAAGAACCACGTCAACAAAGACAACCAGAAGTAGTTGCAATTGAATCCGACTCTGACGACGATTGCGTTATTATAATGAGTAGACCAGCACGTCCCGGAAAGCCAAGGATAAATAATCCGCCTCCTGTTATAAAGAATGAGCCAGTCTCTGATTTGACCACTAATATAAGCACACCGAAGATAGCCAGTGTCAGCCCTGACAAGAGCGTGTCGCCCGATGATTTTGATAGAGAATTAAGCCCCACCGAAGAAGAAATGATCGCAGCTCAAGCATCAATCCTTCGCCCAACTATACATCGAACTCAATCTGAAGAGGAAGACTCTCCCGGACCGGTGAGAGATGGTCGGAAGAGACGCAGAGATAGCGTGGCGTATCCCGAGGATCAAGCAGATATTGATAATGCTATGCAAGTCGATGAAGATGACAATAATTGGATGCATGACCAAGAAGATGGAGGCGACGATTCACAAGAGGAATATGAGAACCTTGTCAAGTTACGAAATGCTTTAAACAAGGATCTAGATAAAGGAACTCTCGGGTTTACCGAAAGAGCTGAGCTCATCAGGGTCAATCACACTATTGCCAAGTTGAATCGCCTGAAGACTGCTAAAGCTAGGGGTGCTGAGGATGAGGACGAAGACGAAGACGAAGAGTCGATTTTCGTCCCTCAAGAAAGGCATCGAAGATTTCAAAATGTTGCCGATAATGGTGAAGGCCCATCTTCAAGACCTGGCGACAGCTTTGAAGATATTCATGATGAGGATGCAGGTCTTGCTAGTATGCTTCAGGAAGAGTTTGACGATGGTCCTTCCAAAAAGCAAAAGCCCAAGAGAAAACGTCAAGCTCCAGCCAAAAATGCTCGAGAATTTCAGGCCAGGGAACAAGCAAAACTTCTTGAGAAAGAAAAAGCAAAGTCGCAAAAGCAAAAGGCCAGTGGAAGTGGTAGTAAAGGCGGGAAGACCAAAGCCGGACGAAAAGGCAAAGGCAGGGCAAAGAGAAAGAAAAGAGATCCAAAAAGGGGGCTGTTAAGGTCGATAGAAACATGAAAGAAGCCAGGTTCATGGGACAACGCGGAGGACAAGATGATATTGGACAATTGATTTTGGATGATCTAATGAATTGCGATGCGATCGGAGATCGTCTTCAAGATCCTATCTTCAATTGCGCTCCCGAACCCGAACTTGGCGGAACCCGAAATAAAGCCACCCAACTTCAACAACTTTTCGCCAATATTCCTGAAGGTAGTAGTAAGACTAAGGGAAAATCTGACAAAGCAAAACTTTTGCAAGCTTCTCGAAGTTTTGGTTATGCACAAGTCAAAGCCGTTCATGGAAAATGGCTTGTCAAGGGAATGAAATCGACCTTGTACCATCATCAACTACTCGGTGCACAGTGGATGGTTTCTAGAGAACTGAGTTCTGAACCACCTCATGGTGGTCTACTTGCCGATTCGATGGGTCTTGGTAAGACTGTGCAAACTCTGGCTTGCATGGTTGGCAATCCACCCACGGAAGAAGATAAAAAGCGCGGAGTAACGGCGACATTGATCGTCGTTCCGTCTTCAGTCATCTCCCAATGGTTAGAAGAAATTCGGAACCATGTCCACGAAAAAGCATTCCCCAAGGTGATGCAGTACAAGGCATCAATGAATATCCCCGAAGCTGTCCTCAAAGATTTAGACATAGTCGTTACTTCCTACACAGAAGTTATGAAGCAATTTCCTTTCCCCAACCGTCAGGGCCGAGAAGATATTGCTAGGTATGGATATAAAAAATGGTGGAAAAACGCTCATGATCAACTTGGCGACCTTCACAAGATTAATTGGCGTAGAGTCGTTCTTGACGAAGCTCACACAATTAAAAACAACTCTGCCAGAACAAGTTTGGCCTGCCAAAATCTGAAGAGCGTTTATCGGTGGTGTTTGACTGGTACTCCCCTTTTAAATAGGCTCGAAGAGTAAGTGGAATTTGCCCAACATTCTTACATTTGATTGTTGAAATTCTACTTGAACAATGGGAGGGCTGGTTTGGCCACTGGTCGCTAGAGGCCTCCTCATTGTTCAATCCAATTTGAAACAATTAAAAACTGACAATTAACCTAGGCTTTTTCCGTACCTTCGATTTCTCAAGGCTAATTATGCAATGGATTGGAGGACTTTTCAACAATATTTTGTGATCCTGACGCTGACGATTGTAATAATCGTATTACAACTCTTCTAAGTTATGCTATGATGCGCCGTACTATGAAGACTACGATCCTCAATCGACCAATCATTACTCTCCCTAAGCCCCACCCGGTTATGCAACAGCTCAATTTCTCTCGAGAAGAGAGGATTATTTATCGAATTGTAAGTGTTCCATACGGGTTGGGACATTCAAAACTGACTTTGCTGCTGCAGACTGAGAACCGCTTTCGTGCAAACCTTAATGTGTTTTTGGCCAACGGCACTGCTCAACGAGCCTATGGAGTCTTCTTCGTTCAACTACTTCGTCTTAGACAATGCACTTCTCACCCTTTTATGCTTGAACGCACGATGAGAGAGTCCTGGACTACCGAAGACGTTGAGCGACTTCGCAAGGAGCTTGGCAAATTCAAGGACTCGAACGTAGCGTTTTACGAGCAATGCAAGCTTTGGGTTACTGAAAGCGAAGAAGAGAGAGCGGAAGCTATAGCTAGAGGTGAAAAGGGAGCCGAAGCTATTCCTTTCGGACTTTCCAAATTTGGTGAAAGCTTCAAATTTGATAGTGCTTTAGATTCGCTCAATGAGGAAGAACTTTATACTCGGATTACATGTCATCTTTGCTCAGATGTTCCAAATGAGCCTGTTATTACTAATGTAGGTTAAAAGATTCAGGAGAATTTGTATCAATGCTAACATCTTTCAAGTGCTCACACATCTTCTGTCAGAGCTGTTTGACCAATCATCTACACACGCAGATGCACCTGTCCGATGGCGATGACACGGTAAGTACTCTCCCAACCAACATTTTCAAGAATTCTAATAACAAGTACTAGTTCAACGTTTGTCCCAAGTGTGACATAATCTTTACCAATGCCTTGCCCTATAAAGATCTCGAAATTCCTGATGATGACGGCATGGACTCTGGTCACAACCAAGCTCAAGAATCCGAAAGCTCATCTAGGGCAAACAAGCGGCGTAAAACCAACAACGACAATTCTCGTCGTACACATGGAATTAAGAGCAAAGGTTTGGATGCGCTTGATTTTGAACCCTTTACTAAAGACAATACTTGGGTTACTAGATCGGATTATGATCCTAAATTTCCTCTCATTCCAAGTGCAAAGACTACGGCGTTGAAAGCTTTGCTTTTGAAAGGGTTTGAAGAGGCTCCTGATGATAAGGTACGTTGATCTAAATAATCCCCCATTTTCACTCTTGAATGTCCAAATAAAAACTAAACAATCAATTCACTTGCCAGGTAGTTATTTACGTGCAATTCCGCACGCTAGCCCGTATCATCGGCCGCATGTGCAAAGCTGAAGGCTGGGGCTTTTTATACCTCACCGGTGACGCCTCACTCGAGCACCGAAGCAAAGCCATCAAAGAATTTCGCAACCGCGACGACATTCAAATCCTAATCGCCGGCCTCAAATGCGGTGGTCTCGGACTCAATTTCCCATTTGCGAATCGCTGCATCTCGCTTGATCTCTGGTGGAACCACGCCGTCGAGCAGCAAGCTTTCGGACGCATCTTCCGCATTGGCCAAAATAAAGAAACGTTGATGACGCGGCTCGTGGTGGCGAATTCGGTGGATATGCGGTTGTTGGGGATGCAGAATTGGAAGTTGAAAGCGTGTGAGAAGGCGATTGATAATAATGGATTGAGTGGTGCGAGTGGCAGTGCGGGAGGAACGTTGAATTTGTCGCAGTTGGCGAGGTTGTTTGGATTTTTGAAGACGGATGAGGATAATAATTTGTTGAGAATTGAACCGGATTATGAGGATGGGGAGGATGCTATGGATGGGGGAGGAGCGTAGGAGGAGCGGATGAGGAAAGTTGGATGGGTTGAGTTTGGATGGTTCTGGGGATGGAGATGGAGATGGAGTAGATTGAGGCGCGAATTAATATTCTTTGAAGTTTTTGGGCTTGGGAAGCTGGGAAGCTGGGAATTGATTAACAAGTTATTGTTTTTCTTTTTGCTGCAGGCGTTCATAGGTGCGAGCTGGAGAAAGTTATTATTATCATTGAGTGATTTGGTTTTGAGGGGTTCGAGCGGGCGTTTTATTGATTGGCGAAAACTCAGGGGGGAGGGGAAGGAAGGAGAGATTTCTCAGAGGGGGTTATTCTTTAAAATACATACATACATACATACATACATACATACATACATACATACATACATACATACATACATACATACATACATGCATGCATGCGTAAATACATATATTAGAAAATCCAACACAAGAACATCAAGTATTCTAATAAAATCTTCAATTTATATACCTACCTACATACCTACCTATTTATTCAATCATCCATTCCGGTTTGAAGATTCGGGGGTTAGTGTTTGTGTTTTAGTTTTTAGTTTGGAGATTGGGAAATTGGAGATCGAGGAAAAGCTATACAGCGGAGATGAGAATCAGGATGAGGATGAGAGAGAGAGGAAAAATCACCAGAGGGAGGGACTCAAGGGAGGGAATTTCGTCGTCATTTTTCATTTTCATTTTCATTTTCATTTTCATTTTCATTTTCATTTTCATTTTCATTTTCATTTTCATTTTCATTTTCATTTTCATTTTCATTTTCATTTTCATTTTCATTTTCATTTCATTTTCATTTTCATTTTCATTTTCATTTTCATTTTCATTTTCATTTTCATTTTCATTTTCATTTTCATTTTCATTTTCATTTTCATTTTCATATCTCTATTTTGTATCTCTAATTTGTATCTCTATTTTTGTTTCTCGGGGCGAGTCTTTCGAAATATAATATAGAGGAGATGAAATGAAGGAAATCTTGAATATTCATCTTATATCTAGATACTATCTTTTCTCTATCTCTAAGTTTTTAGTTTAATTAGTATTAATTTAGTTTTTTCTTTCTTTTCTGTCTTTTTCTTTCTTTTTCTTTCTTTTTCTTTCTTTTTCTTTCTTTTTCTTTCTTTTTCTTTCTTTTTCTTTCTTTTTCTTTCTTTTTTCTTCTTTTTCTTTCTTTTCCTTTTTTTTCTTTCTTTTTCTTGTCTTTGTTCTTTCTTTTTCTATTTTTTCGATTTGATTTTAGAGATATCTATATATATATATTTATACTTATCTTGAATCATTTGATTTTGATTTTGATTGAATTGCGTTTAGATTCTACATAAATATAAACATATATTATTTTTATCTTTCTACATCTTTATCTCTATTCTCCTATACATAATATACATATATATATATACAAATATATTAACTACATGTAATAAGAAATATCATCTTTATCTTCCTATATCTTTATCTAAATCTTTCTATAAATATACATATATATACATATATACGAATACATATACAAGTATACACATACAAATATATATATATATAAATATATATAAACGATTCAACCCAACAGCAAACTTCATCTTCGAGAATTTAGCAAGAAAGGAGGTTCTCAAGAAATTCATTTCAATCTCAATCTCCAATCTCCAATACACAAAAACAGAAACAAAAACAAAAACAGATATCAATCAACAATTCGCAAAATATCATTCTTAAAAGGAAAGAAAATTTAGTCCTATGAGATATTCGGTTTATTCATGATTTAGATTTTAGATTTTGTATTTATTTATTTATTCATTTCTATGTGTCTGAGGGGTTTCTTTTCTATAGTTCTATTAATTTATATGCATGTCTGTCTGTTTGCCTGCCTGCCTGCTTGCCTGTTTGCTTGCTTGCAATCGTTCTAAGGGTGTCGAATGTACAGTAAGTCCATTCATTCATTCAATTGAAAAACACCGGCGTGTAAGTCATGCCTACCATATGATATCATATACACAACCCCATTTCCATCTTCTTAATTGGCATCTGATTGCATCTAATCCCATCTCATCCCCAAACAAATCTCACCTCCCACTCCCCCCTCACAACAACCACCACCCCACAACCGCTCCCAAAATCCCCACCCAGCACCCACCCATCTGCATTATTCTCCCCGCGGCACTCTTCTCCGGCACATTCCCCGTCGCCTTCCCGCCCAAATACCAACTCCCAATATCCGTCAACTGCCCATCCTGATCCAGCATCGTCGCATTATATCCCACATTACTAACGCTGGATCTAAACGATCCAAAATACGAGTAGCGATCTACGTATGAGAGACGATCGAAATATTCGGCAGAGGTGTTGAAGAAATCTTGGGTGGTGGGGAGAGGTTGGTCGTTGAGCGCGTATTCCGTGAGCCAGATGGATGTGTTGGGGTAGCTTTAAGGAGGGGAGTGTTAGTATGTGTTGTGTGTGTTGGGGATAGAGATGTGACAGGATGGAATGAGAAAGTAAGGAATGGAAAAGGTCATAATATAAAGTGAGTGAGACAAGAGGGGCAACCAAAAAGAAAGAAAAGAAAAGAAAAACTCACGTCCCCCGTATCTCCCCCATAAAACTCGCCAATCCCTCAAAATTCCCATACCAATGCAACGGGATAAAATCCACCGTGCAATTTGTTCCCGCATCCGCACAGGCGCTGAAGAAATTACTCAGCCAAGTAATTCCCCTCGGAGAACCCGTTACGGCAGGCGCTCCCGTTTTAATACCCAATGCGCGCAGCGGCTCGACTTGGCTGATCCAATTTGCAGCGGCAACCGAGGGGGAGATTGCCGATCCGCCCGTCGAGGAAGTTCCATCGGGTTCATTGTAGGTGAGAACGTGGGTGATATTGCGGCCGGTTGCCACGAGTGATTTTATGTCGGTGAGGAAGGTAGTCGAGGTACCCCAGAGCATAGGGACAAATTCAAAATCTTCTTGCGTGGCGTTGGAGTAGGCGGGGGAGGCGGCAATGCCGTAGTTGTAGTACCATGAGAGATCGGAGCCAGGCTGTACCCAGACTTGGTTATCGTTGGGATATTTGGAATTGGGAACGAACACGAGACCTCGTTTAGATGATGAACCAACGGTGTTATCATCGTCGGCGGCATAGACGCTAGTTATATAGCTTGTGATTGCTAGGAGAAGAGTAGTGCTGAGGTGCATTGTGATGATTGTATGGTTATCGGATGATTTGCTTGTTTGATCGAGTATATATATTGAGCCTCGTTCAACTGACCGTCCTTCAAATTGAAGTATTAAATGTAAATATTAAAATAATTGAAACAACAAGAATACTGTATATTCTCGAATGATGATAATGAAATCCATAAACCCCCAAAAATCAAGATATCTTCACGATGCACCTTCTTGCTAGGGTCAAAACAAGGCACAGATAGATACCAAGTGTATCAAATGAATGTAGATATGAAGAATATATCGATAACAATTCAATTATATTCGTCTTTGCAACAGCACAAATGAACATGAACAGAAAGAAGAAAAGAAGAAAAGAAGAAAAGAAGAACAAGAGATAAAAAGACAGAAGATAGAAAGAAATACCCACAGGACATCTATAAGGTAGTATTTCACTATCTCCAGCTTGAAAAAGCGAGCTATCTACTAGATAGCTTCCCAATCTTCTCTTCATCCGAAGCTACCTTAGCTTGGTATTTTTCCTCTCTCTCCGTCGTACCATTCGCATATATTGATTCGAAATCATGCAGGAACATTTGAATGGTTGGATGAAAAGAAATGGAGAGTTGCTGAGTTAAGAAAATGATAAGTGCACGGTCCTGCCTCGGTTCTCTCGATTTTTGTTAGTGACAGCGCTAAGATACTTTGGATCTATTTTCAGTTCATGAACTTTTGACATGCTTGCTTGGAGACGGGAGAGCGACATTGGATTTTATTGGATTTGATATGGTTTTATATATATATATTTAGGTGAGTGATTATATTGTTTATATACTAGGCATTTTATATGGAATGGTGGAGTACTTTGTATGATGAGAAGTTTCTTATCTTGAAAATGTTATATATATTCACGTGATATTCTAAGACATCTACCTACCTAGGTATCTATCTACTTACTATATATATATACATATACACATACATATATACACACATGTATATACTACATTCCCTTCCCTTCAGCTCATATGCTGACCTCCTCCAGACCCAATATTCCGAAACCCGGGAAATACACTCGTTACACCCAAGTGCAGAATGAACACCACACCGGACCACCAGTGACACAGAACAGAGCACAAAAGCCATCCCAACAATTACCCACCATATCATCTCCCTAACCCCGTATTCCATATCCCAAGAACCAAGAACCTTGTCTCACAGAACCAAAGCACCGCACCACACCAGTGACACCACACCAGTGACACCACACCAGTGACACCACACCACACGACACCAAAACACCAAGAACCATTCTCGAGCCATTCAATTCTAGCACAGACTACCAATCCAACCACCAATCCAGTCTCCAATCTCCAACATCACTACTGCAGGAACAAAGCACTAATCCATTCCATCTCATCTCAATACCTACACTACCAGTAAGTACACCATCCTCTAGTTTCCCTCCTAATAAACTAAAATAAACTTCCTACCTGCATTTACGCCAATTTAATAGACGCTCCAATTCTCATCTACATTCCCATCGCCATCGCTAATTTTTTCCCCCTACACACACATTACACACTACATACTCCTCACAACTTACTTAGAAAGCGTGGCACCTTACTATCTAAGTACCTACTAAAGGTACACATCACCAGAAAAAAAAAACTCAGCCTATCGTAGAAGGTAGAAGGAATCCCAAACTAAATAAATCACAGCGAATACGCACACTATCGAAGTATCAAAGTCGTCGAATTCTTGCATTCTGCGTCTCATTGGGGGGGGGGTATTCGGATTTGATTTGATTTGATTTGATCTGTATTAAATTAGTCTACTCTACTCTGATATAATTTGATGTGATTAGAACGATAGATTATTAGAGTAGGTAGATGATCTGATTAAAACGATAGGTATCTAGCTAGGTAACAAGAGTCGAATTTGGCAAGTTAGAGAAAAAGACCAAGTTCTCACGAATGGTCTTGAACGATTGAGATGCGAGACTTGTAGTCGATGATACCTATCTAGATAAATTTATCATCAATTGATATACAACTAGTATCGAGTTAACTTAAGATCTTACCTACATGGGAATTCATGAGCAAGGTGTTCATACTATAGATACTACCAAACCTACACATATGATTTGAAATATGAAAATTAATCCAACTCTATAGATAGATAGATAGATATCTAGGTACAAGGTTATACTGTGTACTGTACTGTACGTACCCAGATCAGAGAAATGAAATGGATAGTTTGATTGGGAATCGAAAAGTAATCTTATTATCTACATACGAATGAAAGTGATAATTGGTATAGCTAGATGATATTTATCTACGGAGTATCGATTGTCTAATGTTCATAGGTATGTTGATTATAAATTCGTTCTCATCCACCCATTCATTCATTCATTTCTACTTTCCCGAATCACAATTACAATACTCTTTGATATATTTATTCATACTCCGTAATTTACTTTCCCATGCCATAGGCAGATATTCATCATCATCTTTCTTTCAATGATATATAACCTTACATATTCATATCCATATACCGAGATAGATACATAGTAAGCCGATCTCCCTAACCCTCAATGAACAATAAAATGTAGGAACTGTAACAAAGACGGTATGCACAACATCTATCCCACGCATCGCAACACCCTATCTAAGGTTATCTACCCATCATAAGCATGGGAAGCACCGTATCGTTCTAGCTTAAGAGCAATCGTGTGAGATATGCTTCGTCGAAGCGGAAAGGGTATCGGGCGAATGCAGGTGAATGCAGATAATGGGGAAATCCACGGATTCGACAGAAAACGTGTTTGTTCCTAGTACTTACCTGCCTCTCCATCGATTTTTCCTCACAAGGTTATTATGTAGCACCGACTGATTCCGCAGAGGTTGTCCCTCCTCGCTTGTAAGATCCCCTCCTTTACTCTTAACCTCATTGGAGATTAAAACCCCAAATGACCCAGCAAATCCGTAAGCGTCTTCTCTTCCATCCTTCTCAATGCCATTCTCTGGTTCTCATCTCGATTCATATTCAAAAAATCTTCATTAGCCAATCCCCACGGTACCAAGGCATCCAAGAGTTGATCATGATTCGCTAGGATATCAATGCCAGGAATGTTGCTTGGTCGCTTCACATCTATCTTCTGCAGTGCTTCCTCCCACGCCTGGGCAACTTCCCAATCAATAGCTGGATCATTGTGTGAAGATAGTTGACTTGGAAGAGGTGAGAGAAATACACCTGTGAGTTTGAAAGTGCGGAGGACCTCTGCTTCTTTGTCCCCTGACCAATCCAGAAACTGGCTGCCGCTGCTGCCAAACGATTGCGAACTCATATGCCGGGTGCAAGATACTAGCAAAGTCGTAGTCGAGGAGTGCAGTGGTACGATATGTCGCAGGATCATAAAGCAGATTTTCAGGGACTGCAGTCGTTGTATGATGGACTTTTCTTGCTTCATAGGTACAATGGATAATTGTACCGGTAGTCCCTTCTCAATAAAAGCGTCAATACGCTTTCAAGCCTCATCTCCTTTCTAACCCTGAAGATACGGATTCGCGTCTGCCTTTGCAAGCGCCGCTTTCAAACAATCCCTCCAAAACTTTTCCAACCCATCCCAAGGTCCAGCACCAACACTTATCAAAGGCGCACTCACGACCACACCCCTATCATCAATCAAAATCCGCACCTCCGAAACCACGAATACTTTCAGAAAGCGAATAATCCTGCAGCGCTTCCACAAACCACGTCATTTGTTCCAGAATCACTTTCTTCCGCCATGGCCAAGCGACATCGCTTCAAAGGTCTCGGCCAACAACTCCCCAAGCATCCGCTCCTGTTAAATCCAGCCTGCGTGATGGCGACTCGCGCGGCCCCTGCCGAAAATCCGGGGGACAACAGCGGGATTGATATGACGTAGAGCATCTCGTGCAAGACTGAGAATCGCAACTTCGTTTTGCACTCGTGTTTCTTGATGCATGTCTTCCGCGTCTGGATTGCTGAGACGCATAACAAATTCTCTCGTTCCTGCGGGAATGTCGTGGCATCCTGGCTACTGAAGTCCCGAGGTGTCATGAGGAAGCAGGAGATGATAGATGAAGTTGTTGTATTTGAATGAGTGATTGTTTTTATATTGTACCGACGTGATCTTGATTAGGTGTAGTTCCTGAAAATAGTCATCCATTTAGTAATCAGATATAGATGGAAAAGATGCTCTAAAGTAATTTATAACAGATAGGCTTAGATACAAAAATTATTATATAACATACATTACTTGGGAAATACAAAGAATCTACAAGTACCTGTTCGATATACTTAAAACGCGACTCATAGTTGGCGTGGTTGTGGTTTAAGGTTACCGCCATATGGATTAAAATTAATCTAACCTTGGGATATGTAGCTTGTAGGGTGAAAAACTTATGCTTCAGGTGATTTTTTTAGAAATATTGTAGACAAACAGAGAGGGGTTGAGTCCTGTACAACTTTACGAATATTGGCGTCTGTCTGGGATCATGTATGCTTCATTTATCATGATAGTTGAGTATTTGTCGACGTATGCGAGTGGGAAGTTGAAGTGCTTAGTCAGACTGTATATATATATTTTTGGAATTCATCAATCTTTTTAATTACCTGAAGCGCTATATAGTGCTTCTTCTAGTCTGAGGAAAGATTTTTGGAAAGCATCTGTAAGGTTTTGGGAGAGGTAAGGTGTGAATAGATTTCCTCCACCATCTGAAGGAAAACCAAGTACTGATAAACTTACTAGGTAGATGTCAACCACTCTATTATCAAGATACACAAATAACAAAAGTACACATGTAGCCAATTATCGAGCTTGAAATTAGTATTTTGATTTAATATCTGAATCTTCCAGGTGGGAGAAGCCTTCATGAAGTGCTCGCTCTCCCTCAATGCTCTACTTTTTCTATGCACTCAGGTTTATAATGCATCTACTATCTAGGGAATAGATAGAACAGATGCTAAAAATAATGAAAGCAATCAAAAACGACAATATCGACTTATTTTCTACCTAACTACTTCCCTACCCACCTACCTACCCCTCCAATCAATCTCAACACAAATAACTAGCCATTCAATCAAGATACAATTTTATTCCCCAACAATCTCCCAATCTCCTCTGCAATTTCAATGATTCTCTCTTCAGTCAATTTCCTCCCAATAATCTGCACAGCAACTGGTGCTCCGTGATATGCTTCCGGATCATCTATTCACACATTAGTAAACCACTTCTGTGACCACAACAAATCCCCCCCTCCCCCCAAAAAAGAAAAGAAATAAGACTTACATTCACCCTGCACCACTCCATCCACCTCACTCAACCCCTCATACCCCTCCTTCCTCCCATCCACCTCCTTGTCCGCAAACAACACTGGCACCACCACACTCGTGAAATCCAACAAATTGATCACATTCGTATACCCATAATACACAAACCGATCATGACGAATCGCCGCCGTCGCCGCTACAGGCGCAACAATCGCATCGATTTCCCTACCGAGTTTTTCTTCCATGAGTCGAAATTGCTCGAGGTATTCGCATTGGTATGCCCATCTTTGGAGATTGATGTCCCAGAGTTCGTTGAGGGAGAGAGGGGCGTCGGTTGTGTTTGCAATGTCGGCTATGTTGGGGATAGGAGGCTCGCCGGATGCGGAAAGGTCGGTGCGAATATCCTTGGAGTTGTTTAGTAAGTAGATCGATGGGGGGCTTTTCATGATTTTCTTACCTTTCCAGCATCTGAACTGTATATTTTGTTGAGGAGATCTTGAGCATGGTCATGCTTGTAGGGCTTCCATTCGAAGACTTGATGCCCATTTTGTTTCAGAGTATCGACTACTTTTTTGATTCCACGAAGAATTGGAGGATGAGGTAGCACCTAAGTACTTGGTTAGCATTTCATCGATCATAAGTATTTCTTCTGTCCGAAAAGGGCGATTAAACACTTCCACCCAGCTGTGTTTACTTGAGGTCTCATCGTTACCGCAGTCATAGCCGGATATCAAACTTATCCTCATTCCATATAGCAAATGAACTGCGAGAAAAATGCCGAGGGCCTTGAAATGAATTTGACACATACTTTACCATCAAAATCATAGTATCCAATCGTCAAGCCACCATCCGAAATTCTAGACTTTATAACATTGGCTTCTGATTGCCTCCATGGCATAGGAACAACTTTAGCATCAAATTTCCAAGGTTCTTCCGCTAGAACGGATTCCACAAACAATCGCATATCTACGCAAATCAATTACTCGAACACGAAGAATATAAAAAAAAAGTTTGAGGAAGTTTAACATACCTGCAAACTGAATGTGTGATGGGACCACAAACACTATGCAGAGTTTCCTGACCCTCCATACTATTTGCCATCTTACCATAAGGAAGACGGCCATGACTTGGACGTAAGCCATACAAGAAATTGAATGCCGCTGGTACACGAATAGAGCCACCGATATCAGTCCCAACACCAATGATTCCACCTCGGAAAGCAATGTTTGCACCTTCACCACCTGATGAACCACCGCACGACCAATTTTTATTATAAGGATTCACTGTTCTCCCGATAATATTATTGATCGTTTCACAGCACATCAAACTTTGGGGCACACTGGTTTTCATGTAAAAGACGGCCCCGGCTTTGAGTAAAAGCTTCACGAGGATTGAGTTGTCATCTTCGTATTTGCCAAGCCATGAGACATATCCCATGGATGTCTCCAGACCCTGATGAACACAGAATAAGCAGGAAATTTGTAATAGATTCGTAATCTACTCACCTTAATTCTGAATTGATCCTTCAAAGAGATTGGTAGACCATGAAGTGGACCAATTGTTTTTCCCGTTTTCTTATAGTGCTCATCCAATTCCTTAGCACGTGCAAGAGCCATCTCAGGAAAGAATTCGAGAGCACAGTTTAGCTTGAAATCATTAACATGGCTCATATTGTATCCGTAAACTACTCACAAGTTGATGGGCTAGAGCAGCTCTTTTACAAAATGCCGTTGTTACTTCAACGGAAGTCAATTCACCCTTTGCCATCTTGGCTACAAGATCAGTAGCTGATGAGTTTGTGATGGAAATCTCGTCAGTAGACATCACATCACCAATATTAGTATACTCCATCACATTATCCTCGGTAGGCTGGGATTTCAAACGCCATTCCGGAGGAATACTGGCGTCGATCCGATCTTTCTTATCTTTTGCAATCTCTTGCCAAGACATGTTGCTTCGATTGACAGAACTAAATTGCGGTTGATATTTGAAGTGGTCGAGATCTCTAGAGGTCCTGGGAGGGAGAGTGAGATCTGATCTGAAAGAGTGGCAGAAAGAACAAGAGGATAGCACGACGGTATCTGATAGTGGGGTTAATGTACCTAGTACGGAGTATGTTGTAGCCGTGTAGGGCTCGAAATAGTGGATGTTTTGTGTGTGGGGAAGCTGCCATAAGGTTATTGGTATCTGCAGACCAGGTTCAGGCATTGACTAATGAAGCGCGGCAAATTTTGATATGAACAAGCGCATGATACTCAGGGGCATCGGAAGCAATGTTCCATGCAAAGGACAATACATGCAAAGTCTCATGAGCTCGATACAGGTTCCGAAGATGTAGGACACATAATACAATAAGATCTAGTAGAGAACCATAACCTATTAAAAAGACTTGGGTTAAATGTCTAAAAGAGCATGTAAAATAGAATACAGCGGGGGAACCAGGTACCAAAGATCTCAAGCAAATCATTTATGGATAACATCAGAAACTCTCAGAATGGAAAGAATCTAGGATATGGAGCAACTTATTACGAACGACAATATTCCTGGGCCCTCATCTAATTAGATGTAGAAGTTCGAGCTGAAGGGCGAGGTGTTTTTCTTGAGGACCCCGACTCGGACAATAATGGTGTACTCTCAACAGTAGTTCCACCTTCGTCATCTGTATCATGTTCTCGCGAGCCTGCAATATACCCAACGATACATCTTCCATTGGACTGCTTAACGTTAGTGAGTGTTTTTGAACCAACGGATAATGATTTCACTTACAGCTCCACCCTCATCACTCTGTCTCTCCCTTCTAGCTTTTAGTTCGAAAGATATTCCCATAACCAACAAGCATCCTTGTAAACACCCTGTGATCAAGAACACACCCCATGTGCTCCAACCACCAGCTCCTAATCTAGCAAAGAGACTCATGGACCAAACAAAGCTGCCAGGAGTTTGAATACACATCATTGGTATACTTAAGCTTCCAATATGACCAAGATTGTATGTCAACCAGATTTGAGGTATATATTGGATACCTGCAAGAATCGTAGCTATAATACCCAATGTATTGGCCCATACTCCAAGTGCATTAGGATGAGCGAGTGCCAATGATGCACTGACAACGATAGTAACGAATCCATGGAAGAGACAAACCAAAGCTACCGTGACAGCCGTGCGCCATGTATGTTGTTGTTTATTATCATCGAGCGTAGGAAGGGTCGGAGTTCGCGGGAAGAATACCATGAAAAGGACTAATCTATATGAAATTGCTATTAGCATTTGATATCTTCATTGTGGATGATCGCGTTGCGTACATTACACTGAAGCAAAACCATTGAACCCCAACTTGGGCAATACCAAGTAATCCTGCGGCACATTCAAAGGTGCTAACAGTTTTGCAACATGCCACATCCGCGCGAGATGCTGGCAGGACTATTATGTTTGCAAAAGCGCATGTTCCAGATGTTGTACCGAGAAGAATAAAGAAGGGGGATATTCCCTCTGAGGTTTTGCGACTGATGATTCGATAATGTTTGAGGTAAGTAAGAAACGAGGATTCCATAAGAATAAAGCTGGTTAAGGTACATGAGTTAGCAAGTTACTATTATAAACAAACTTCAAAGTCTGGAGAAGCTTCTTACATAGATACTGCGAGATTGATGTAGCTCACATCTTGAAGCTTTTGGCAGCGGTCTGATAAGTCATCTGTGATAGACAACATGATGGTGAATTGTGAATTGTAAATGAGATGGTTGTATCTGCTAATGGATTATTAGAACATCCAAAGCTTGCTATTTTTATGGTGAATGAGTTCAGATCATTGGTGAGTAGTCGTGAATGTTGATGTTTATCTCGAAGTAAAGCTTTCAGAGAAATGCCATAGCTACCGGTACCCAGGTACATAATAAGGTACCAACAAACATGGATCATCAACACGCTCAGACACGGTTCTCCCATGCTATCAGCTGATAGGAAGGCGTGAAACACAGGGGTAGCTGTTTTATGCGGCCGCATCATTCCGTGATTACTAACCAAATCTCCAAAGACAACCGGTGAGCCACCACCACTACTTCCACTTCACCAACAAACGGTGAACCCTTTAGTACTTAGTGAGAATGTTCACTTCCTACTCCGTAGATCACCAGATGTTCAAGTGGCCGTTCCCATTGGTGTATATGTTCAACCTTCCTATACTTTTCTTTCCCTATTGTCTAGCACTGAGTATCACAAAGTTCTGTTCTGTTGATCTCTCAATACAATTTTCTCATCCTATATTGTCTTAGAGATGGAAGAGACTAATGGCTGGTGAGAAGTTGGACATCCGTAAGTATATGGAAGTTCGATCTCTGTTGCAGCCAAATATCAAACAGCAAATTGCGAATGCATCATTTTCAGAGTGTTATCAGCTCATTCTACACGGATCTACCATTCAAACCTACCTCGAGTCTACATAAACGCCGATTTTAGTGTCCTTGGCTGCATTTAACATTCATCCCCACTGTAACCCCAGCTCCGGAACTCAACGGTCTTCGAATATAATCCATCTTTGTCATCACTTCGAGTGATTTACCAATTCAACAAGTTCCTCTTCGTGTCTATCGATTTTCCTCTACATTTGAAATTCTTCATAAGCAGAAATTTCTCGATACTTTACCAACAGGATTTGAAGTTAATCATAAATCCATATAAATCCTTTCGTCTAGCTTCAATAGAATATCCACTGCAAAGACGGGTCTCGTTCAATAAGTTTCAATCATTTTCAGCCCTTTTACGGCTACAAACATAATGGCATCCAACACGACTAAAGTCCCACAAATGCAAAGTAGATCTTCCAAACGAAGTCGCAATCGTACATTACTCTCATGTACAGAATGCCATAGGAGGAAACAAAAATGCAATCGAAATCATCCCTGTAATGATTGTCTGGAGCGACGTGTTCCACATAAGTGTCATTTTGTGATACCTTTGTAAGTGTCCATTGACATAATACCAAGAACTTTTATTGATTTGGAGAAACGAAGAAGACAGAGAGATTCAAAACTTGATTATCAAACCACAAAAGCTGCTCGTGATCGAAGGATACTTGCTGGGGAAGAAGTTCTACTTAGCCTTGAATCGGTAGACGATCTAAGAAGCGTTGGATCTTCTTATGCATCCACTCGTGCACCTACAGATTTGACACAGACCTTGTTCTCTAATCATACTTCTACCCATGATATAAAACTACAGGCTTCCTTCTGGCCCAATCTAACGAGTGGGATTCTGGACGGGTTCGATCCATTTTCGATATTGCCAGATACAAGTGGAGATCCACTTCCCAAATCAATTCTCATAGAATACTGTAAGCAATTTATTTCATATCTCGGGAGAAGTTTTACTGACAACAGAAAGTTGTTAAGCAATTAGGTCCGTGGCTTGGTACATATGATGATGCTAAAGTTGTGGGTCGCCCAGCATTCTCTTGGCTACCATTTGCTTTGCAACATCCCCCATTATTTTATGCTACGTTATTAGGCGCGGCCGTTCATCTAGACCGCAAAAGACCTATAGACAAACGCAGTCTGGTCTGGTACAAGATTGAGACAATGCGTTTAGCAAATGAAACAATGAATGTACCGCACGAAGCTGCTACGGATCAAATGCTTCTAGTAGTTTTAATCTTGCTTTATTTCAACGCAAGTCTTCACCTTGATATTTAAGTGTCGAGCTGACAATAAATCATAGGTCGGTGGTGGAGATGGAGAAGAATACGAAATGCATCTCTCAGGTATCAACCAAATGTTAACCATGAGAGGAGGCATGACCAATCTAGGAATGAGAGGTATGATTAAAAACTGGCTAGGAGTCTGTTATGGTCCTTGGCATCCTGATTGGCACTATGGTCTTTTCGTAGAGTTTTATGGCATCAAACGACCATCGCATATGCGACGAAATAATCATATTCCAGATTTCGGTTTGCCAAACTGCCATAAAGTTTGAAATTCTAAAACTACTCCTTCTCGAATCATCCATCACCAACTAAGCCAACAACTGTCTGCAGTCACTTTATTCTACAAACTCTTCTTCCACTCTTCCACGGTCAACACCTCATTGGCAAATAATGGCCATATGAGATCAGTTGCAGCATCCTTTACCACGGTATTAAAGCCTGCCGTTGCATCTTTAAGCATGGTTATATGATATCCCCTAGTTTTGTCATCAGCCCCTGTGCAAGACACGCAAATCGAAAGTTAACTTACAATTCATAAGCATATCTTGACGTGGACTCCAAACAAGTATTTGCCGTCAATCCGGCAAATACTAGATGTGTGATATTTCTTTGCTTCAACTGATAATCCAAATCAGTGTTTTGCAAATGAACTATTTATCTTAAATTAGTTATCCTCGCTTTCTCAATGATATCTTCAAAATACACGACATAATACATACCTACTGCACCAATGTTTACTAACAACCACATCTCCATTTCCCTCCACGTCTGGCTCCAATCCTTCATAAATCTCAACCCCCCATGACCCCTCCTCAAAAGTCTTGCTATCTCTTTGACCCTGCTGCGTCACAGTTGTATGTTCCCAACCTGCTATAAACCCTGCTTTTACCTGTTGATGCAAACCATAATAGATAGGTATTTTCTGAGCACGAGCAATAGTCACGAGATTCTGGAGATGAGAAATGGTGTTTGTAGCGGCGATAGATTCGGCGAGAAGGTGATTGACTTTGCCTTTGGGGTGGAGGAAATCATTGTAAGGATCGACGAGAACGATTGCGGTTTTGTTGGTGGATGGCATTTTGGGGAGATTGGTTGGGTGAAATAGAGGACGCAAATAAGTATTGTGATTGAAGAATGATGAGCCGAGAAAATGATTCGAGTTGGATTGAATGAATTGAGATGGAATGGAGTTTTGTTGTGTCTTTATATATTTCTTTGTGAGTTGATTATACACAGGAGAGCACCCCTCATTGATAGACTAATATCGGCTTTTATGCATGTACGCTAAGTGGAATGTTGCAAAGCATCACGCTCTCCTTGCTTTATCAACGGATTATATAAACACGATACAAATCGTCGCTGCCTACACACAAGTTCGAATATTTAGTCTCGGATAATACTCATTATTATTAGATTCTTAGCTGGGATGTGGAGAAGACTAAAATCGGCATTAAGGCATGATTACCTAGATGGTGTATGCGGGGTATACACAAGGCTGAATTCAGCCAATGAATGGGATTGTTTTCTGTTTGGGGTGATGACTGTGCGTGATCTGTTTTTTTGTTTGAGTCTTGTTTTCATGGGGTTTGATTGGTTTTTGGTTTTACGAATTGTATACAGTGTTGTGAAGTTCTGTATAAAGCAGAGATGTTTTTCTTGTTTCTGCGTCTGCTAGACACACTCACATCCTAACTTTCGGCGTGGAAATCCCAATGTGTTATGTTCATTCGAGATGCCTAAGTAGGTAGATGAAGAATAGTTATCTTGAAGCAGAAAGTCCAACTTCAAGACAATCTAGCTTTTAACCCTCATTCCATTCATTACTTATTTCATTCAAAACTAAATTTACTATCCCTTTGTAATGATTTGTAGTTCACAGTGGTTCATTTCCCTCATTTACTATTGTTTTTCGGGCGGTCATTTACAAGTGGGTGAAATCCAAGGTAATCTTATTCAAGACTATTGCTATCATATTGATGCCTTGCTCTAGTTTGATGTCCCGAGGTCTTTGAGGGTTCTCTTTGAAATTATCTAGCTGCTCACATGTGTTAACAATATATGGAAAAGAGTTAAAGTGAATAAAAGTACTTAAATTAACGAGCATGAAGTCATGTCCGAGGTCCGAGGTTGCACCACACTCATTGCTTGCTATCAGAAGCTCATTAGAGATGGGAAATATTCATAATGATAATGATGGAAGCACTGCCTCCCTATAGGCTTGTACACCTACTTACCTAGGCACTGATTCATATATATTAACGATTCACTACAAGAGATTAGCTACAAACTTGTATAAATCTACACCTTACAAATTGGTACAGCAGCCAAACAAGCATAAATACTTTCATGTCTCATCATCTTTCTCGTCCTTTATTCCACATCACTTTCGATGTATAGTGCACCTTGTTTTTCATAACAAAGTTCCATTGTATCTAGTTTGTAACTATATTACCTAGCTCGACCACCACCAGAGAGCTTTACAACATGTTACCTGACGATTTAGCTAGTTCTTACTCAAGCTACAAGGCAGATACCTCTTTGTTCACAAATTGTAGGTGTCACTACTCCAAAGTGGGAAGTTTGGGCTAATTTTCACACAGGGCTTTTCAAATCCGCCATAGCTTGTGGCTATAAGATACCGATAGTCACATCTCCAATCCAAGATGTCTTGACACCAGTTCCAGTCTTAAAACCACAGCCCAGGCTCAAAGGGAAGGCTAGAAAGCTCGCCAAAGAATCTAAGGATAAACAAAAGGTTCAAGAAAGTGTACCTGTGTTGAGAGCGCCCTCAAATAAGTACACTATCACAACAACAGAGATCTTGAAGCAAGCCAATTTTGTCACTGGAAAGATTGAGCTACCACAAACGGTTCGCAAGGTTCTTCAGAGAGCTATCCAGGCTCGACAACGCTGTGCAAATTGGTTCGAGTCATCCAATTTTGAGAACCAGTCTTCGAACAAAGGTCATCAACATTTCATCGGACTTCTAAAAGACATTCTCAGTGCTCTAGACCAGGGCCGAAATGACAGGAGTCATTCGAATAGCACGTATGTACCAAACAAGACCACAACAAAGTCCCAAGACACGGAAGCTTCTTGGAATGAGATATCCAATAGCTTTCAAAACCTTGACGTCGAAGACTGCTTGGAGGAAGACAGTGAGGTCGAAAATGATGAAGAAAGTCCCGAGCCCAATACTGACACCCCGGACACTTGCGAACTAGAAGAAGAATCCTTGGAGATGAAGATGAGCATGATGATCTTCTATTTCTTTGAGGATCTTCATCGGATTCAAAATTTCCTACGTGGAATATGGAAGAGATACAAGGATAAGACGCTGGATCTCCTCAGCGCTACCTTGATCACAAATGCAGTGTTTGAGTTAGTTCGTCGCAGTGAACAGGAAATTTTGAGCAATGCACCAAAGTTATTCTCAAAGAAACGATCATATGACACCATTGCAGCTGTCATCTTCTACGCAAACGGACTCAACACAGGGAAAGACCCCACACAGAAAATGGAGTCGAAGGAATGGTTACGGCCTACACCATTTGACGACTTCATATATCTATCCACTGCTCGTATCTTGATGAAATACGATAAGCTTTATAAGATAGGCCCGGTTTATCCCATTCCTACACTTCCGTTACGGTCAGCCTACATCTCATGCCCGGAGATTCTGGGAACTCCTTACATGGACAAGAAGGAAAAGGAGGATGTCTTACTCTCACAACTCATCATGGATCTTGACTTGCTCGACGAATATAACAAATTCACGAAAAATGAGGAATATCAAGCTCCGGCACAATATGCACCTCCAGCCGCAGATGCTTTGACTTCCGGCTTGTTGAAATTAAAAGACGAAGGAAACATCAGCGTCACTGTTGTATTTGCCTCGCAAATATTCCTCGATTTGAACCAGATACTTGGCGATAACATCCGAGAAGGACGCGAAGATTGGGAGAGATTGGTTTCGAAACGTCAACGTAGTCTAGATTCCTGTCTCTATCTTCCAAAGGATACTGCTAGTGGTCACACGTGGAGTCCTAACGATATACACACGATTAAGAAGATAGTCGAAATCAATTCCAGGTATAACCGACTCCACAGCGCTCATAAACCTAAAGCGGCGCTTCCTACAGTTCTGCTCAGGGCCAGATTGGGGCAAAGTTTATGATAACGAGTCCACTTCTACAACAGGCTCGTTCAATCGCTTGGATCAAGAATCAAGTAGCGCTTCTGTCCTCCAACCAATAGCGAGCAAAAACACATACTGCACGGAACAAGGAAACCTACCAGGAGTACAGTTCTCAAAAGATCTAGTGCTAACCAACACCTATACTCGGTTTCCAGAGTGGGGCATCCTTTGGGATGGCAGGTTAGCCTATGATTGGAGCGAAAAATGGTTGGTACGCATTGGCGCAGTTACGAAAGCTGGTAACACCGAGACATGCAATCAGCAACTCATTGAAGGTATCAGGCAGCTCGATATTCGATTGATAAAGCCTCCTAGTGACCCAATTTTTTTTTATATACACAATCCTATTTTTTGTGGGATGGTTGCTCTCAGATTATTGACGAGCTACGACGAGGCCGGTCTTGCCCATTCTGACTATCACCTTGTCATGACCTTCGCGGCACATCTGTACGAGGAATGTGTAAGAACCAACTTTATTCAAAAAAGATGGCCAGCACTGGAAACAATGATAAAGCTACACAGGAAGGAAGTTTTTGATGGAATCGTGCCAAAGTCCGCAGACGAGGCGTACAATATATTCTCCAAACACTTTTTCCTCTCCAAGGTTTCAGATCGAGAATATACCAGAACAAGACGTTCACCGAATATGACCATGCAAAAACTGTCCAGAAATACTCTCAGTCTGGCTATCCGTCCATTTCTGGAGCACCAAGCCACTTTCGATGAAGCCACCAATAATCTCCAGAATCTAGTCCAAGATCTTCCGGCCGCAGCAATGAGGAAAGATAAAAATCGACGTGCAAAACGACAACTCACTTCATTACAATTCCTTCGTGTTTTGGAAGACTTTCTGCCCGATGAGATGCCAAAAATTCAATTCGATTACATCTCGTTGACGATCCCTTGTTATCGTCTATTGGAGAAAATTCGATTGGGAATCGATCCCACTGGAAAACAAAATCCAAAGCGGAAATTGTCCAGTGGAATTGAACCGGCGTATTTGTATATGACTTTGGATATACTATCTAAAGGGAGGACTGGAGGCGAAAACCCATTGTTGAAAATTGCAGCGGGGGTGTTGGACAAGTTTTTGGAAGAGGAAATTTTGAAATAAGGGGTTAGAGCGCTCGATGACCTTATTCAAAGTGTTTCGTGTCTAGCAAAACATCATGATATTGTATAGTTGTGATTTTAAAGAGGAGGGCAGGATTAATGTTTGTAAGAGTACTGTTGTGAAAGCAAGTTGCGTTGTATAGAGTATTGAATTTTATTGATTACCAAAACAACCAATATTTTGATCTTCGCTTCTGAACATATGATTTCGGAGAGAAGACGATTCCTACTATTTCGAACGTCTGGGTTGAGCCAACTGTCATAGTACATAACCGTTGAACATCAAGAATGAGTTCCTGGCCTATGTAAAATTATATCTAGATTTTCTGTAATGATCCTCTACTACACATCTACACCGGATATAAGAGACTATACTGCTAGCCCTGAATCCAAGGAACTCTATTTAAACGTATCCTCTCCATGAATTTGAAAAGGCTTCCTACCAATCTTCTATACTACCGATCGTTGCATATCTGCCCAGGGATATCTCTATACTAATTTTGTAGTATGATAGTATTTTACAATCAGCTCAATGTGGCAGTCTTTACTTAATTTCGAGAAACCCAGACTAGAATACTAGTCATTTGCTAGCTCTTCCAGCGCCCAGCTAGAAGAATTTAATCACACACTACTCCTAGCCATATACCTCTTAGTTCCTCTTACTGATACCTAACATAAAAGATTGATGCATATCTATACCAGATACCCGAATAAAGATTAACTAAGTGACGACAACAAGCCAATATCATTCCACTGAAACCATAACGCAAACTTTCCGCAAAAGGGGCAAGTTTTCGAAATCGCATTCAAAGTAGCTTGCTGTATATTCATCGCCAACACTCAATTACAATTTTTGAATACCTAGGTACCTTGGTTTCAACGAGACTTTTCGGTTCAGGATATTCACTATCAGAAATTCTCATTCCTATGTATAGAGTTCCCGTGACCGGCTAAATCCCATGAAAAAATGTTTTGTTGCACGTCTGTATTCGGCTCTTGTCCGGTTCTCTCAGAATGCAACTCTCTCGACAATGTAGCTCTCTCGAAATTACGACTAGGCTAGCATTGGGAACTAGTCGGCCGCTTGAGGAGCCGACTATCATATCAATAACATCCATGGATCTCTAACGTGACCTTAGGATATATTAACTGAAAGCCAATCCTCGATCAGCAGCATGCTCTCTCTACTCTACCACCCTTTGGCTGCTATATTCTTGTGACTGTAAATACCTACGAATGTGTATCTCTCACTATCAGTTGGCCAACAATCAAAATACTTTTCAGAGATGAAAGATAAACTCGCAAATAAAAACATTCACTACTAGGAACTCTCATTTCACATGTGACATACCTCTGATAGGCTAAGAACTACAACCGAAAGGTTTTGTTGCACGTCTGTATCCGGCTCTTGTTCGGCTCTTGTATGGCTCTTGTTCGGCTCTCGAAATGCGCCCAGTATTAAGAGCTCGTTAGCCGCGTGGAAGAGCCGACTGTCATGTCAGCTGTTATGTCAGTTAATATCTGTCATGATAATTACAACCGAAAGGTTTTGTTGCACGTCTGTATCCGGCTCTTGTATGGCTCTTGTTCGGCTCTCGAAATGCGCCCAGTATTAAGAACTCGTTAGCCGCGTGGAAGAGCCGATTATTATATCAGTTAACATCCGTCATGATATATCGATTAAAGTCCAACCTTGGTCACTGGCATGCCTTCTCCGCTCTACCACCCGTTAGCTGCCATACCTTGGTCACTATGGATAGGTACTTACGAACACATATCTCTGGCCAACTTTGACCAACGACTGACAGACCCAGACTTTTCAGAAATGCAACAAAACCTCTCAATCAAAATCATTCACCACTAGAGACTCTCATCTCACACATAAAATAACTATGATAAGCTAAGATTTACAATCGAAAAGGTCTGTTGCACGTCTGACATCAACGGTAAAAGAGAACTGTTACTATTCCTTCCTAGGTAACCATCCTCTCCATCCCACCAAGCCTTGACCCATCTACCCAATTCCAATTCCAAAACCAACCTTCACTTCAACCTTCAACCACAAAAGTGAAATACAGATATGCAACAAAACCCTCCAGCCCTCCACATTCACTCAAACCCACCCCCAGCACAGACTCCATCCCTATTCACCCCCTCTCAAAAAAGTCCAGAAATCTATTCCAACATCATCCGCCAATAGAAATCTTGAATTGGGTTTGCAGATGTGCAACAAAACTCCTCGTTGAAGATAAGAGAGGCATATTCACTTGCCGACCCTCCAGCATCGATATTGTATGCATGAGTTTTATTCACTTCGGGAGACCTAGATTCGTACGCTACATCATGTTGATTTGGCGCGGCGGTATATGTATGAATACTACCACTAATAACTCTTCAGACGCTCTCCTCCCTCGAACTTGATTTGCATGCCATATCAGGATAAGAAATGCAAACAAGCAGACAGGGGAACAATCTCGTCAAGATTATACATTATTATCCAAGTCGGATATTAGATATACGTGAATAGGTGGTCATCAATCCCATCTACTTCGATAGCGATATATGAATCTCCACTATACACGTTCCAAAAGTACTGCTTCTCCACATAACTCGCAGGAAAGTGTTCACAAACACAAGTGCGCACTACTAAACAACGACTTCATAGAGAACCATTGCACCTAACTCTTTGAAGTACAAAATTTCACTGTTCAAATCAACCAAAATATGAAAACTACCATGCATCCAAGGCAATACCGTGCACTAGCATTGCGGAGGGAGAGTTTGGATAGCTTTAGTAGGATGTCTACTAGAAAGCTTAAGAATGGGTAGTTGATATCCAAGGCTGCATTGTGAGACCATGCTGCTATAAAGCATAACATCCAACGTAGTGAGCAGGATACAACAAAGCTCCGAGGGGATGTCAGCCAGCGTTCCTATATTCTCCGGTTGGTAGGAATCTTCCAATGCCATGTAATAGAAAGCGAAAATGATAATGAACTGAGTAGAGTTGAGTTGAATTGGTCTGAAGATAACGTCGAATGTCTCTTTGATTTATTAGCACATAAACTATGTATTGAAGTCGACTAGCTCTGTTAAGAGTTTAACAATCAATACCGCATATCCTCTAATTGCGCCGCCATGTATGTCTGACACGTATGTTCCATCTATATACCATAACGCCTTGCAAATGAATCGTACTGGTCCCATGATTCCATGACAGCTTGTATATCCATCCATAATGTGTCTCCAATATGCGCATTGAATGAGTCGCACTCCCCATTATGCCCCTCTCAATCTATATGGACAACCCAATGGGTTCCGTACTTATAAAGTCGAACCGATTATTCCAAACGATTCATTAATCCTTTCCTAACTTTCATATTGACAACTCCTCCAACACCAAATGCAGGCACAATTCTACATATTCTAGCCGCAGCACTGACGCCCCAATTCTTCTTTATAATACTCCATCTATCTCCCCACGTAACACCTTGACCTCTGTTATATAGATCTAAACCCAGTAAATGCATAGGCGTACTCAAAAGTTGTACGGAAGCCGGGGCCAAAAATTGGGAAATTGTTTGTCCACTTATCGATTTTTGCAATTCCTCAGACAGGTTCTTATTGATAATTGGACCAAGCATTGGTGGTATATTGAATGAAGCGAAAATGGTAAGACAATCGCGAGCAGTAAAGAGTATATATGAAGGGAATGGTACAGGTCTCGGTGGACCGGAGGGACCAAACATACGGGCAAATGTTTGATCTTTGAAAAGGCACAATCCGATGTTTGCAGTCGAACTTGCAACAAATTTCGAGGTTCCAGATGTAACTGTGGATGCGGGTTTATTGTGTATGGTGGATGTAACAGTATCGAGGGTATTGGCTGTTAAATATGTGCCTCCATATAACATACATATCAGGGCGAACGGTTTCGAGAAGATAAGACTGTGGGGTCGGAGAATAAAGCTCTTGAGGGATAATCGTAATGATTCTTTGAGTGTCGCCTGACCCGAGGCATTTTGCATAATACCTCTGTTATAGTATTAGCAATTGGCGCAAGAATCAGAGAGTTATAACTTACTTATCAATGATAGTGATAATTGGCGCAACCATAGTTGCAGCAGTGGCACCAGAGACAAAATCTACACCCAATCTATATGGCAGATTCTTTGTATTCCATTCTCGAGGTTCTGCTATAGGTTCTGCGAGTTCAGGACTTCGAGTCACTGTCTTTGGGTTGTCAATTTTCATTGGGGCTTTTGGTGACTCCATCTTGTGTGAGTCTTCGGATTTCATGAAGAAAATGACATTAACAATCAACCAACAATCAATGTCTCTCTACAAAACGAATGATTGAGAAACGTAGGTTCAATTGAATTCGGTATCAATATATGAGAAGCAAACAATTGCTTAGAAGAGACTTGAAGACTGATACCCAGGATCCGAGTGAACAAAAATTGTATCTCCGTGCAATAAAGTTTCTTGAGTGGAGGCCGAAGTCGCTCTTTGCAGTCAAAATGCGAAGAGGGAAAAAAGCAATTGATAAGTAGAATAAGCTTATCGGAGAAATCCTTTACGATAGCAACCCGAAGCTAACCGATTGTGTGCAGCATGAATCAATCTCTCGACATCAATGAAGGGGGTTTTTTTATATTTTCTACTTTTTTCTTTCTACTTATTACAAATGAAGTGATTAACACCAATATAATGAAAATATAACCCTATTTATATTGTCACCTCTGTCGTCAAAGTATTAGCACCAAAGTACGGGTTCTCTACAGCAAACGATACCTTCAGATAGCCGTTCCGGGGGAAGAAGCGGATCCGAAGAGTAGGTAATAACAGGGGCACATCCTACCTCACGATGATTCAACCAATCATGAAAACTAGATTAATACCCCCCATGCTTCTTCGCTTAATGAGAAAGATCGTCGTGACTTTGACATTCGGTTCAGAAGTTGTCTCGTCAGCTCACCACGAGATATACAATCTGGTTGAAGGAGCAATATGAAACCGGGAAAATATGAGGATTCGTTTAAAGAAGAAGAGCGGATAGTGCGCGATTATTTACTTGGAGATGAGAAGGAAGAGACATGTCAACTAGAATCTCAGCATGAGAAACCACGGATAACACGGTCCGGACAAGGCTTCCGAAACAAATGGATAGATAGGCTACTATTTGGCCTGTTGGTATTCTGGGTTTATATGTTCTTACCATATGGTAAAGAAACATTCAATGAAGATACTGTACTTGGTGAGGATACTTGGTCTTGGGAATCGGTAGGAACTCTGGTTGGAGAAATTAGATGGAACTAATATGATATCATTAGATCAAGCCAAACTCCGAATTAGTTTGGCATCAATGCTTTGATGAGTTTGATTGTGCAAGATTAGAGGTATGACTACCATGTCCGTCAACTTCTCCAATGCTAGCTCATCATATTCTTTAAATACAGGTACCACTAGATTGGCTAGAGGCTACAAATTCATCAAAAGTTGTTTTGGCCGTCTTGAGGAAAAATGCAACATCAAAGGTGGATTATAAGGGTCCGCTGTTCGTAAATCCAGGAGGACCTGGAGGATCCGGTGTAGGCACCGTGAAAGACTTTTGGAAAGCTGTTCATATTACTGTTGGAGCCAACCACGTGAGTCCTGTTCCCGATGACTTGAAGTCTACAACTAATAAAGAAAATAGGATATTATTGGATTCGACCCTCGTGGAAGTAAGTTTGTAGCATTAAATAGATAGTGAGATGGTTTATTAACTTTATGCAAAGTTGGCGCCACCACCCCTTCCGCTCATTGTTGGAATGGACCGCGAGAGGAAAGAATTTGGGGCATTCAAAAACTCGGACTTGTCGATTCACATCCAGGAATGATTTATGATCTTTATGCACATCAAAGTGTCGAGTCTAAGAATTGTGAAGCTAATCTTGGTGATCTATCACGATTTCTGGGAACGGCTTCTGTAGCAAGAGATATGTTAGAGATACTAAACAAGCTCGGATACGAAAAATTGAGATATTGGGGTCTAAGTTATGGCACAGTAATCGGAGGTACCTTTGCAGCCATGTATCCCGATAAGGTTGAGCGTCTCGTTAGTGACGGTTCGTATTATTTTCGACTTTAGACAATGAAGGCTTGCTAAACCTCTGATAGGAAACGTCAATTACTCAGAATGGTACAATGGAACCGGAATCCATTTTATCGAAGATACGGACAAAGTAATGCTAGCTTTTTTTGACTTGTGTCATAAGGCGGGTCCCCAAAAATGTGCGCTCTATGCCTCAACGCCTATAGCAATCCAAGAACGACTCGAAGGTATCTATACCAAGCTTCGAAAATACCCATTGCAAGTCTTCCCTACCACAAACAACACAATGAAGTTACAGTTATTAGGAATCACTCGACCAAAAGTTCTCACTTGTTCGGACGTGAAGAATGCAGTAATCTACTCACTCTATCAACCCTTAGCATTATTTCCTCACTTGGCCAAAGCTTTAGCTGCGCTAGAAGCTGATGATGGTATACCCTTCTTGAAAATGGCTATAGCTCAAGGACACATACAACCAAGTTTTACATGTAGTTGTGATTCCCCTGACTGCGAAGAGGGATCCGGATGGCCTCTAAAAGCAATTGGAAATGGCGACGCAGCAACATATGTGAAATGCGGAGAAGGTGATGCCGACGTGGATAAAGATAGTTTGGAGGTTATGATAAAATACGAAGAAGAGTTACGAAGAAAAAGCCCACTATCCGCATCGGTTATGTTCAATATTCGCCTATCGTGCGCGGGCTGGAAGTCAAGAACAAAATGGAATTTCATTGGTAAGTATTCCTCCTATCGATCACGTTTCTCCTGAACATACATGCTAATAAGACCTATATAAAGGCCCATTTGAGCAAAATACCAGTCATCCAATCCTCTTCATCGGTAATTCAGCAGACAACATCACACCACTAGGAAGTGCAATCTACAATTCACACTTCTTCCCCGGTTCTTCTGTTCTAGTACAGAACTCCTATGGTGTAAGTCCCTCCCATAACAACATCCGATAATCCACAGCTCATCATCATCCAGCATACATCGGCATCTTGTCCTTCAAAATGTACAGCAAAACATCGACTTGCGTATTTTCAAGATGGTATTCTCCCGTCAAATGGTACAGTATGCGAGCCTGATTTTATACCGTTTGGAATTGAGGCTGAAGGTATGGATTCGCAAAGCGATGGGGATGAGGAGTTGGAGTGGGCGTTGAGAGAATTGATGAAGTTGTTGTAGATGTTGTGTGTTTTGTTTAGTTTTGCTTATCTATGGGCTTTAAAAGAAAGAGAGGGAAATTACGATTATCGGATAGAAGTACAGTAGGAATATCAAAGAACGGATTAAAGAAAGAAGACCATTACAATCATGATTTGAAGCGTCATGAGAAAATTCCTGCTAACTAAGGCTCATGAATTTTGTGCTAGATAACCCTTTTCAATGTCCTAGACTTTCATAAAGCCCTGGGTGTCTCACACACTATAAAGTGTTAACAGATTAAAGCAAACATTCCCATCTAGCAATTGACCATCTATATCGTCACTTTAAAATCTATATGTAGCAAAACCATCCATCTAATCCCATCTCAAAGAAAGCACCCTCATCCCAAACCCCACAGTAGACCCCACACTAACTCTCCCCCGCAGTCGGAAACGGCAACTTCCTATGCATTCTCATAACCACCTCCGCAAAATCCTTCTCATTCTCCTGGCTCAAAATCCCATGCCTCACAAAAAAATCAATCATCACCACCGCACTATTCGTCTTAAACGTCCCTTTCCCCAACTCCTCCATCACCTTCTCCACACTCCACAAGTAAAACCCCTCCACCTCATCATCCCTCGGCGTCGGGATCGTCGCTTCCCCAACCTCCAAATCATACACATATATCATATCCGCCGTCACCAATCCCCTAATCCCTCCCGATCCCGCTCCACTACTCTTCATATACGTAATCACACCCGTGGATTTGACATGCGCACGGATAAGCTCAGAAGACAACGAAGCCTCTTCATCAGCTTCGTGAACGATGGTTTCGAAAGGTGATTCATCTGCACGTACGCCCCCTGCAACCGTGGTGTCGAATTTCCCCGGGTAGGTAAAAAGATGCGCGCTGCGTTTTGCGACCCAGATTTTCATTGCGCCTTCGGCGCTGCGGGTGTAGATGGTGAGATGTGCACCCCGAGATATGATGCCGAAGAGTGAGGCGGCGTAGCGCTCGAGGTACACGGGTTGTTTGGCGCCTGGGATGGCGTAGGGTTCGCTGTGTTCGCCGTGGAGAGTGCTGAAGATGTCCTTGTCGATTGCTTCGTTGATTACTTTTGCGAATGCGTTGTTGCATGTGGTGGAGTAATCGCTTGATGCGATGTCCATAGGATGCAGCTGGACGCTTAGGGGTGGGTCTTGGGTGATGGTGAATTCGGGGGACCAGGGCATTTGGGAGACGATCTCGGGAAGCATGTAGCCATGAACCCGGTCATCGTCTGGGAGGTATAGTTTGTAGAGTTCATCGATGTTTGCATCGTATGGAAAGCTGATAGGGGTGATTAGTGCTATGGCTTATAAGGGAATAGATTGTAAACTTACTTATCACAAGCTTTCACAAGATCTAGATAGGACTTCTTCGAATCTGAAGACATGGTGATTGATCATACGATGTGCTTTAAAAGTGGGATAAACTAAATACGACAACGAAATGTCCTCAATATACTGATTTTCCAAGTTCCAATCTAAAAAGAAGAGACAAGATCCCCAACATATAGGTCCAACAAACTGGTCACGAAATTCCGCGTAACGTGATATATTGAAGATGTTCCCAAAGTAATTTCCAACCATGTCACACTTTCTTAGCTTAGATAACCCACCTGGTCCGTGTGTCCAGTATCAAAATAAGCGATACGCTTTCTATCCAACCCCTTGCACTTTCTACCCCGCATTACCCCAGAATAGATACGAAATACCACCTCCTCCTCACTTCATGCAACCATGAGCTGTTATTTGTCTCAAAATCAACATGTGTTATCACTATACTCTTCCAGTACTACCAAGCAATCTACGAGATACGATTAGAATTGATATCTCGAGAAACATATTCACAAGTTATCGCACAATGAATTCAATACATTTCACGAGTTTCTATCGGGAATTGTTGTATACATACTAGGTGGTAGGTACTAAGTAAGTACCTTTCTAACTTCCATCCCCTTCATACAACACCCCTTCACGATGTCACAAACAAAAAAACAAACAAACCATCCATATCTCACAAACCCAACATGCCAACCCCGGGCTCTGAAACCCATCGGGCTTTGAACCGGGATCTAATTCCAAGCACCACCATCCTATGCCATACCATCCCCTCCCTTCTCAAACCACAAATCGTAATACCGGGATTTGTACTCTCTTCCTCTCTTCCTCACTCACACCCTCACACACACACAATTCTCCATCCCATCCCATCCTATCATAATCATTCAGGCTATACCTCCCTACCCCCTCCCTCCCTACCATATTCATCCATCCATACCTAGGTACCTCCCAAAATAATCACGAGGACATACCAAAGATACCTACCTACATAAACACACTCTTTCCTCCGGAATGTAGATTTGTCATTTATCATTCTCTCTTTCCCTCTCAACTATCCATTTACATTTTAAGTATCTATTTCTCTAACCTTGTTCCATCTCACCTCTATAACCAAAGTTGTCGCAATACCCTCCTCATTACTCATTACTCATTTCACCACCATACAATCTTCACTCACTCACTCGTCTCAGCTCATCAGCTCATTTCACCAAATCTCATCCAACCATCAAACAACTCTCTCTCTCTCTCTCCATCCACCAACCCTCACCTCCAAAAAAAAATATAAAAAAATGCCCCGCCCAACCCTCACCTCCACCACCACCACCCTCTCCCTCCTCACCCGCACAATCCGACAATCCTCTACCTCTACCTCCGCCGCGACCAAATCGCTCACTCCCCGACAACCCATCTACTTTGGTCCCAACGTCTACTGGGGAAAAGCGTGGAAGAATGTGTATGGGACTGGGTTGCTGTATGTTTATTTTCCCATCTCTTCATTTTCCCATTCTCTTTATTTTTCCATCTCTTTATTCATCTATTCCTCTATTCATACGTTCATTCATTCCTTCCTATTGGATTACTTTCCCCTCTGCTCTCCCAAAAAGAATCTATGCTATGCTATACATGCAAAACCCTACCCATTCAATACTAACACCCAATCCGAATAGTTACGTCCCCGTCGTTGCCGCAGTCATGTTTTGGCCCGTTCCAATTGCGCCAATGATGAATTTTTCAAAAGGGGTTAAGAAGGAGGGTGTGGTTGCTTGAGTTAGGAATGGACTGATGTGCTATGGGATGTGCGATGTGCGATGGAATTTGCTAGCTGAGGTTTGATTCAGATGAATAAGACATGCTGGGAATTTTGACACAAGCACGGCAAAGGACGATACATGAATAATACAAGAAAAATATATGATACCATCCCATCATGATTCTTTCATTACTATTTCGTGTGCTTTCCCATCATAATAAATAACCCATTGACCTAAAAACAATTTGGGTATATCCTCTTTTATACACAATAAACACAACCTCCCGTCATGATATCATTCAATACATGTACTTCAAATAATACAGACCAAAAATTTAAAACGCAAAACACCGCCATCAACATTCTATCCACTCAAACTCCCGCTAACTCGCAATTATTACAAGGAACTCCCCTTTGTCAAATACTGTGCTATGATACCAGCCTCTGGTGTTTCATATGGTGTCCTATACTCACTCGTTCCTCGACTAGTAACCCCTCCAATATCAAGTCCATTGGTTGAAGCAAGACCACCATGATCATTATCAAAGTATCCCTTTTCTTTTCCCTTGGAGCTTGTCATTCTGAATTTTTCCATATTGACTTCACTTTTTGTTTGTGAAAGATTGGCGCTGCCAGGTCGTTTCTTCTTCTTATCCCCCTTTCCTTCTTTCCGCTTTCCAACCAAAGTTTCATTCTCAACCGAAGAATTTCCAGCTGTACGCATTCCTCTAAATTCTCTGACAACTTCAGCAAACCCTTCCTCCAAAGTCTTCATTCTTGCCAGCATCAATCTTCCCATCATACCATCTGCAGTTTCTTCTTTTTTATCACGTTTCATCGCCATCTTTGTAGCGATAGCCATTTGAGTTTGAAATGAACTCGGTACTGCGCCAAGTTGTGCCTGCTCAAGACCCATTTCCGATAAACTGATATTCAAACTAGATTCTTTATGACGCAAAACGCGATTGCGTGCAGGATCTGGTTTAGTGATAATTGGAACAGATTGAAAGTTTGTACGATTGGGTAAAATAGGACGTGGTCGAACAGTTGCATTGGTGAAGTTGGCGGTTCTTGGAGTACGAGATCCTGATTGGCCTGCTGGGGTGTTGGTTCCAGTATTGGCTTGTGAATACATTTTTGCTGTTAATGGTCGTGAACGAGGGAGAGAATTGGACGAAAATGAAGAATTTTGAATAAGAGGATTGAAGAGAATCGTCGTCGTTGATAAATTCCTATCATGAGCCTTCTTCTTTGGTGTAGACTTGGATTGCTTTGAGGGAGAATTGTTTTGTTGTGTGATATCTTGTTGTGGATTGAAAGGCGCAGTGGGAGAAATAAATCTCGTTGCAGTTGGGGTTTGGAAATACTCTTCTTCTGATTCAGCACCACTTTGGCTGAAATTCGTCGCTGTATGTTTATCCTCGGTATGTTCGTCTTCATCATTGGACAATAATTCATCATCTCCATCTGCATCTGTATGACCCCCACCAAACTCATTTGGATGTAATTCATCATCTGAAATTCGAGTCATGTCATGAAATCCTGTAGACATGAATTCTGCTGGATCACTAGCCACAGATCTATTTCCGGAAAGCTGACGACTGAGTGCACGATGTCTCATGGCATTTGCTTGCCTAGATTGCCTTCGCATCTCTAATCTTTCCAATATAGAACGATCTTGTTCTTGTGGTGGACTAGCAACATCTTCTTGACGTTCCATCCAGTTATTGATGACAGTTTGAGTTTGTCGACGATCAAAACTAGGACGATTTCTACCAAGATTATCTCTCGGCGTTAGCCTAAATACTTCATCAAGAGCTCTGTCTTTCTGAAAACCAGCAACTGAAGATTCATGTCTCCGTAAATTAGGACTGAAGAGTCCATGCCTACGATCTTGGAATGATATTGTTCGCTTCGATCGTTGTCCAGCTTTTTCAACCAAATCCGTAGGTTCAAAGACAGATCTTGCCAAGAAAATCTTTTCGTAGATGCATATACTGAATAATAAGGGAAAATGAGTCATTTTTATAACAGTACGATTCATCTTGACGAATGTCCTGAAAGGAAAAAAGAATCTGAATGGTGTAAGAACCCAAGCAAGAATGTTCGTAGGTGCTACATAAGAGAAGAGTGCATCATTCTTAACCATAGAAATTGTGTTGACAGCAAAGACGAATTGATGTTCTTCGTTTGCGTTTGAGACGATTGACATGAAGGAGTTTGTTAAAACCGTAATGAGAATGGTAATAACGAGGAAGTGACAAATGAAGAGAAAAAGCACAAGTAATGCCTTTCCCAGGAAATTGTAAGTTTCCCATGCTTCCCATGCCGCAGGTGTAAATCCCATCAATATCTGAAAGATCTTGTAGGCGACTCCTGCTGCATCGTATTCGCTTTTTCCAAACGATAGAGTGAATGCAACGAAAAAACCACTACAAGCTATTAAAATTAGTACAAACACCGCCACAAGATCAATTGCCATCAATCTAAATGCGATTAATAGTTGTGAGAAGTATCGGTAATGGTCCAGAACACTGAATAATCGAGGGAATAGTAGGATTGCATTAGTTGCAAGAACATCATATGCCATACTATTCCACTCCTCTCTTCCATAGTCCACCAAGAAAATGCCATATAGCCGCATGCAATAGTAAACAGTAAGTAAAACTAGAATACCCAAGTCGAAAGCATTCCAGAAACTCATAATATATAACGAGAACCCTTGTTCGTTAAATCCAACTACCTCATCAAGCATGAAACCTGCACTCCAAAACCAAAATATGACTTCGAGACCGGTGATGTCTGTTGATCTTTGACTGAGAACAGCTAGGAAAAGAACAAGAAGGATAGCGAGTGAGCAAGTGGAGAAGAATTGACGATATCTTGGTACCCTCAATCTCGAAAGCTTGAATAGAGATGCATCTCTTGGGTCATATAATGTGACCGTTCTCCTAGTCAAGGTCTGAATTGCTTGTTCCGATTCTGGTTCTTTATTTTGAAGTTTTGGGCGGCTGATTGTTGTCCCATATTGAATTTGATCACGGGTAAGTAATGGGACCGCAGTTCCATTGCTTGGACTTGGTTTCTTAAATCCAGTCCGGTTTATTGATGTACGGTGAAGATTATCCGCCGCAGAATGGAATACAATTGTTCCAGCCCAGATAGCCTCTAGTTGTTGGACTACAAGTGGATGTGCCAAAAATCGTTTCGCAGACGCCCTAATAGCTACCTCCAAAGTTGAGATCCTGGCAGCAACTGGTTTTGCACGATTTCTTTGATCCCAATTCGTTATGGGTGGATTTGGTTCTGCTACTCCTTGTAATGGAAAGAAGTCATAGGAAAGAGCATCGATTAACTCTCTAGTATTGTATTCCTTCAATAATTTGATAGCTAGAAGCTCGCAAACTAAAGCTCTGGTTAAGCTATTCCCTGCGTTACCTGGATTTGCTTGACTCTCCTTTTTAAATTGTAAACAATTTGCCATCAACGCATATAAGGTAGCTCGATTAAAGTGCGAAATTCGAATTTGTTGTTGCATAGGCTTCACTAGGAACTGTGAGACTTGTGGTGACCGTAATTGATCCCATGTCAATGTGGTTTCCGTCCGCGGGAGTATGATGAGTCGAATGGCATGTGTGAGATTATATACTGGAAGCGCATCTAATCAAATGTTAGTATTGGATTTTTGGAGAGAGATAGAGAAATGCTAGATACCAAGATGTGCCGCAGAAAATATAGGCAAGAGAGGTTGATCTTCATCACCATCTTCTTCTTCTACGTCGTCTTCATTACTTCCTTCATCTTCATCCTCCCCATCATTTTGTTGCGCAATTTCCTCCTCTGTATCTTCTTCTATTTCCGTTTCCGTAAAATCTGCGGATGCATGTCGAGGTAGACGTTCTGTTCTAGCCACAGCTGGTGAAGATCGGTCAACATTCAGTGTCGAGAAAGGGGAATGTATCTCTTGAGCGCGTCGTCGAGCTTTCGCTGGACGCAGTAATGAAGATAACATTTTTGTTTGGAATGTTTTCAGCTCAAAATCCGCGGTTGAGCGATTTAATCCTTAATCCTGTATGATCGGAAATGGAAGGTAGGAAGGAACGCTGGTTGCTGAGAAGGCTGCCTTTCTTGATCTATTTCATCTTGTAGCGACGGGAGTTGAAGAAATGAAGCAACGCAATCCGAAAATTGATCGAGCGAAGGAATAGTTTCAAAGGGTTGTAAAATATTAGTTCATTAGTAGTGTTTGTAAATAAAGAACGAAATAAGTAAATAAATCTTTGATTTCCAGGTTATCGCGTTTCTCGAGCCCTTTTTAATTATTTCTCGTCCCAGCTCCCAGAACCAAGGCTCGGTCGTTCGAAGAGTGGATGGATATTCCTTGATGAAGATCAAGCAACCAATTTATCGAATTAATTAAATTATATATCAAAACAATATCAAGGAAGAGAATATGAAGATATAAAATCTCTTCCTGTAAAGAGTAAAAGTAGAAGATGGCAAACCTAAATCCTGTTTCATGTGCTTATCTCACAACCCTCCCAAAATCACATAGGATATGAAATCGATATTCACCCCATACCGGTCGAGAATTGGGGAAACCTAGAATCAATCAATGATCTCAACTTTTTTGGAAGGCAATCAATCATGTCATTGCACACCGAGACACCCTTGATGCTATGCACCCTTCTCGTTTATATGCATGCTGCCGATCAAATCCTGGCCATCAAATCCCTATCTCATCCAATCAAAGACCCAAGCACGAGAACATGAACTGAGGGTTTATCTAAAGATAAAGACGGAGGTCGGTACGTACTCACTAAGTCTCACTTGGTAAATGTAAAACCACGCTTCCGTTCATATGAGATGTCCTCGTGATGGAATGAAGATAGATAGGTATATAATCTGAAGTTGTTTAGTTCTACTCTCTCATCCCTCATCCCTCATCTCTCATCTCTCATCTCAATACAACGAGATATCATTATCATGCATTAGAATTCATTTCGAGGAGTTGGTGGCTTGAGGACTTTTAATATGGGGAAGGTCAGCTTACCTTATTTGCATGATGAAAAGAAGAAGCTGCCAAAACGAGAGTCTTATTGGATTATGAGATTGGTAGTCAAG